TGGCTGCAGTGTGACCAACAGCCTGGATTTCCTCCATGATGCCAGTACCCTCGCTGCCAGAATCTTCTGCAACCACATCGAGCAAGGCATCTGAGTTGAAGACCGTGGCTGCTCGCGCCTTATTGCGAATTGCGAATCATTGGAGAAACAATCAGACTTCAAACAGAGTTTTGGTATACGGTCTTAGTCTCAAGTTTTAAGCTTTGGTCAGCGGTCAGCAAGCAATCCGGTGATGAATCAATGAATCTGTATCAGAACATAAAGATTGAAAATAAAATATATAACAAGTGAAAACTTGAGCGATTGAGTAGGGCAACCTTCTGGAACACATAGAGGTTTTCGATCTTGTACTGTTCAAAGAGTGCGTGAATCTGTATTGGGACAATGCTGCTGCTGTACGACGAAATTTCTGGAAACTCTGGTCCACGCTCTCCTTGAGGTACCTGCATCACCCCTAGATCACTGATTGCAATGGATTGTCGCCACTCCTGATGCAATGCTGGTTTTGAATGGTTGGCCCAAAACGGTTGGACGGTCGGTCATTGTTCCAAAAAAGAAAGCCAAGCAGGGAAACAAGTCGAAACAAAGAGAAAAAAGTCTGCCGTTGGTCGCTGAGTCAGTCGGGAACTAATATACCAACCAAAGCCAAAAAAACAATCTATAAATTCCATTCTTGGCAAAGCCAAAGCTTCATCCACAGAAAGTGCGCTTGTTCTTTGTATATAGCTTCTTTGAGCAGGGTTGTGGCTAACCATTTGAAAGACTCTGAAGCTGTTGGCAGGCCCACTTTCGAGTGGCAAGGCGTAGCACTTCTTGTGCTTCAAGCATGTCACCATGTGTTCACGAAGTAGTGGTGGAACTTGCCGATCACAACTTGCTTTGGCATTTGCAATTGCCTCACAGTGTATGCGCATTTGGTCCTGCTCAGATGCAATATTGGGATGCATTTGATGGCAGCCAAATCCATACACCATTCTGAGAAGATCCCCAAACGAATCCCAATTGCCCGGGACCAGCAAGTCAAAAGAATCCATCAGCTCGGGAAAGAGCTTTCGAAAGTCGGCCTGCTCAAGATCTTTGTTGGCTTTACGCCGCAGTTCCGCCATGGTTGCTGCAGGTGATGATGCTCGACCTCTGCCAACTTGTATGGCAATGTATCTATGTTTCGCCTCTAGTCTTTGCATCGTGATCAGAGACAGGGAGTAGAAGAAAAGCTCTCTCATCAGCCCTAAGGACATTTGATGGCCACTGATCCACTTGTCGAGGTCAAGTCTGTGAGCACCGCCGCGACCAAACAAGACAGAGCATGGAACCCCGAGGGAAGATTTTGCCTCAGACTTGTCATAGCAACCCAGCAAGTCTGCAGCAGCAGCTCGACAGTCTTTCTCACTCACGCCCCAAAAGACTCCAGCAATTTTGAGTATCGCCCACGCCAAGCTCGACCAAAAAGCCCACGCTTGCGTGCCCCTGAATGCCATAGCTGCCTTGCAAGATTGGAAGTCGACAAGCATACGCTGACAGAATTCGTTGTTACTCTGCCCACCAGCTTCATCCATGTTTGCCTCGCTGTTTGGCTCTTGCTCGTCTAGCTGCTGGAGCTGCTGGACTAATGTTGCAGACTCGGGACCTGGAACAACCACGTCGAGCTGCTCCAAAAAAGTCTCCCACATGCCCCATGCCATCCAGACTCCCTGCCGTCCTTTCAATTGACATGATAGCCGTTCTTTCTTGTAAGCCTGTGCTTGACTAGGATCTGAAGGAGTGTTGCTCTTGGGGTGGCATGGGCAGGCATGAAAGAACTTTGAAACACGGATTCCCCAGTCGCATAAGCTTTTGCAAAGCGCTGCAACTAGCCAGAACCTCTTGGCCCAAGTCCCATTGTGAGCTAGCTTCTTGAGCATGTCAATTTCAGAAGCCGACAGTTCCTTGCAGCCCACAATGTTGTCAATGTCCATCGCCAAATGTTCAAGGGCTGCTTGTCGCTCAAGCAGCCAAGACAATGTGAAGTACAAAAAGTTCCACCTCGTCTGAATGAGCTGAGGGCAAGTGGTCTCAAACAATGCAGCAAAAGAATCACGCAATCGCTGAGACGAAATCTGTCTGTTGGAGTACACGCACACGCTGACAAATCTCTTGCACCTGCCATAGTTTGCAAAAAAAGGGATATGCCATGCAAAGCAGCTTCAAACCAATCCTCCCAGCAAAAGTGTTGATGAATGGCTTCCATCACCTGGAATTGATTTGGCCAGGTCAGCCAGTTGGCCAGGTCAGGCAAAATTTTAGTTGGGACAAAAAAGAAAAGAACAAGTGGTTTAGTTTTTGTAAGTTGTAAACTAAGCCACATGATGGAGTCCATGATCATGATCTGGAAGTGGTAATGCGTTGGCAAGAAGGGTGTTGTGATCAAAAGCTCCTTGGTTGCCCAGGAGAGTTACTGGTGTTTGCCATATGCCCGCTTCAGCTCCAAAATCTGTGAGTATGCTCAGCACACGCGACCTGGAGCTGGAGTGGTGAAGAAATTGAAAAGCATGGAAGACTCGAATGGATTTCTGAATCTGAATGGATTTCTTACTTATTGCATCTTATTGCTGAGTACTGCTTCGACTCATTCAATGACAGATTCCTGGAATTCCTAGCTTATCCTGTACACTGTTTAGTTATTTGTCTACATCCTTCCTTAGCCTTTGGACATAACATTCAGGAAACGACTGAGATTCCTGCAATGTATGTGGTAAAGATTCACTCTCCAATGCCAGCATATGAGTCAATTTCAATGCTTTGTGAACCGTACTACCGGCTCTGGCACCCATAATCTGACCAACCAACATTCGTTTCTGCAGTCTACTTGTAGCAGCGGCCCTCAACTGGCTTGGTGTAGTTTCACTATCTGACAGTCGTAGAATATCTGCCTCCGCATTCAGATACTCTTTGCCAAATTGGGGCGATGCATCCAAACGTATGTGCAAACAAAAGTGGCCATCTGCAACCAACAATGTCCTTCTGCAATACAGCATTGAACAAAGGTCTGCATAGACCCGGTATCGGTAAAGAGATGCTTTGCTTGGCACAGTGAGCTCATGTGATTGAAAGTGATCCCTCAACTCTTGGTGCAACACCATGTTCATCGACCTCAATTGAGTTTCGAGTTGGAGATTGAGGCGAGTCAGAATTGATTTGAATCTAGCACCAAACCAACTAACTTACTAACAACTATCAACTCCCAACAGACTATCCCCCTACTACTAACTAACTACTAACTACTTAACTACCACCTACTATCTACTATCTACACTACTACTAACTACTAACTACTAGCTACTAGCTACTAACTAACTACCACTATATACCGCTATTCCACTAACTAAGTGAGACGAGGCAAAAATTTGCAAATCTATCCTCACTGGCTACTGGCTACTACCCTACTACCCTGCTCTACCTCCCATCCCATATTTGCAATGTGCAATATCTCATAACCGAACAAGTAACTAAGATACTCATAAAATCTAATCGAATCTAATCTATTCAACTCTACTCTTCAGTCAACAGTCAAGATGCTCCCGGACCACAAGTTTCATATCCTCGAGGCATCGCAATCGATCCGCCAAAAGCACCTTATCTCCGAGTCTCAGCAGACGTGGCATCAGCTTTGGGTGTTTGTTTAAATTTAAGCTGTTGAGGGGGCAAACAAAAAACACACAAACTGTGGTCTTGGCTGAGCTGAGAAACGGCGTCCAACATGAAGTCCCCGCTAAATTTGCTTCCAACTCTTCCACCAGATTCCCCACTAGAGTAATTTCTGAATTTGAAGACTTCGGTCATTTGTCGAACCGCAATTTTTGCATTCTCAGTTTTGCCTGCTTCCAACAAGAGCAAGATGCCCTGAAGCCTTTGTTCCAAAGCGCTTTCAGATTTCCAGTGTGCCCCAGTCACACCACAGGCTCGTTGAGCAGTGCTTGCCACCAACGCTTCCTCGGGCCCACGATCTCGTCCACGGTGTCTGGTCTGGATGCCTAGAATCAGAGCTAGATTGATAGAACACATGACACGGTAGTCCACAGTCTACAGTATACAAAATACAAAATATATACTGTATCCTATTCACACAGGAACCTTGAATGCTGAATAATTCAGCTGTAGTGCACAAAACGAAATGAGCGTCTGCCACATTCCATGGACAAGTGATGCCCAGCTGTTGTTCCAGAGCTTGCAGCGTAAAGTAATCGCAACCATCGGTATAACGCAGCTTCAGTCGGTAGCCTGGAACCAGTGGGCTAGCCAATTCCCACAGTAAAGTCAAATCCTCTGCAGGAAGCTTCGTCATGTTTCGTCTGCCGGTAGCACTATTGGCAGTCAGCTTTTTGTGAAAGGACACTTCTGCTAGGGCCCTCCTGTCTCCACCCAGCACTGTGAGACCTACATAGTCCTTGTTACATCTGTGCCAAAGCCAAGTTGACTTTCCACCACCATCCATTCCATGGTCCTTCTTCTCAGGTTCCTCGACCATTCCATGCGCAGCCGCAGAGCTACTCCCCTTCCCCAGGCAATTTGTTATTTTCCTGCTTTCCTAATAACATTGAACTTGAATCATGAACCCAGGTGTTTTGCATGTGCCGTTGCGCTCGGCGCTGGCGTCAGCTAGCTTTATAAATTTATATACACACACATTGGCTCAATCAGATTTTGTGCTTTGTGAAATTCTGCTATGCATATTACTAAGTCTGGTGTGATATGGTTTATTCTCGCGCTATTGGGATCGGGAGCATAGTCAGAGCCAGAATGACAACGCATTCCACTTGAACAGCAAAACATATTTAAAACAGCGCGTCGCGTTACACTGCTTTTATCATACCGAATGTTTGAAACTTCGGCCTCGAAACCCTGCACTTACCAGCCAACTAGGCCGAAACAACCTTCATAGTACATTCCACGCGGCGGTGAGAATTAGTACTCAACACTTGAGTGCATTGTTGACCCGGCACCCACTTGAACTCATGAGCAGCCTGCTGCCAAAAGATACTTCAGACCAACTTCCAGGTCGGGAGATGCCTTGCCCGTGGCATTGAACTGTGCGGGCGAATGTAGGGGAACAATGAAAGACAAAGCAAGGGCAATGGAGCCAGGATTAACATGCGTTGTAACACCTTGATTCATTAACATCAAGAAAGGCCCGAGGAGAACTTTACCATATGTTGGAAACATAGCCAGCTAGCTACATCGTGCATGTTAGCCTCAACTTCCTGGGTTGTGGAATCACCGGGTTTCCGCCTTGGGAGCCACATCAATTCCATCGCACCAGCCGGTGAAGTCCATGGGAGGCTCCTGATAAAAAAGAAGAAAAGGAAGCCTACGCTGTAGGCAGTTCATGCCAACTCAACTTCAAGAACTCGTAGTGCTCCTTCAGCAGCACCACAATGGGCTTTTTTGAGGTTGGCTTGCGAACCTCGTAGATGTTTGGTTGACAGGCCTCAACAAAGTCACACGATCAAATGCAGCAAATGCAGTGCCATCCAGTCATTCACAACTTTGACACAATTTCCTTTTAAACATATCAAAAGCATCGGACACAATTGATGACAATTACAATGAAGCTCAGCTGCAAAAAGCAACACTGCTTGCTGTGCTTCTGCATAGCTCCAGCCGCGTGAGCGCAAGCGCTCCTGGACCTGTAGAAACTGGACATGCCACCAACTGAACTGAACTGAACATTAATAGCAAACATTGTTACTACTAGTAAGGCACCTGTTACTACTACTAGCGTGGCACTTGTTACTAGTAGTAAAGGGCAAACTTATGCAAACCCTTGTTCTAGCTGAAATCTATAACATGTCGGAGCTGTTGTGCTGTTGGTGTTTGACATTTAGGGAAAGCCCCTCCAGGAGACTGTGCTACTTCTTGCAATTGTTTCAAAAACACCGGTGGACCATGTGGACCAAAGATAGGGAACCTCCGGCAGGTTGGGCTCGATGGCGTCTTTGTAGAAGCTGTCGATTACCTTACGCATGGTCTTCATGCGGACAAAGCCGATGGAGCGCTCCAAGCTTCTAGCAGGGCTTAAGAAACTACTGCTGAAATTCAGTGTAACTGTTTCTTACTTGGACCTTTTTGAAAATACTCGTTTGAGGCAACTGATGCGTTTGCTCCTTGTCTCTTCCTCTTCCAAGCTTGCCATCATACACCCGGTGGGCATGTTGCCATACCACTCATCAAATCCTGGCACCACATCTGAGCAATGTGTGTTGATGTGTGTTGAAATACTATATTATATACAATACCATCAGCCATGTGCCGCTCATGCTGCACATCGAACAAAACAATCTGGCACAAAAAGGGCTCTTGTGCAGTCTCAAGCACCTGGTGGTGGCTTGCGCAAGAGGACACACGGTGGCTCGCCGGCAAAGGGCGGAACCAAAAAGTATCGTGATGCATCCAAGGCACAAACCTTGCAAAAACAAGGGCAAGGCTTGGAAGGAACAACACGTGTTGCATCATGCTACATCTATATGGTTCTTCTTCTTCTTCTTCTTGTCTGGCTGTTTTCTTCAAAGCACTTGGGACTTGGGGTAGAATAGAAACCACCTTCAGCTCGGGCACCGCTGCACCAGCACGCAGCTCATTGTTTGACCAAAGCTCAGAGGACTTCAGCCGGCGTTGCAACTGGCGAGTCCAAATCCCCAAAAGTCAAAATTTGTCCAATCAGGATAGCAAAGGTAGACATGGCCGGCGGCATAATGTTGCGCCCACGTCATGTTGAGATACTTTCTCACTTGAAGATTCAGCTCAGGAGCCTCTCCGAGAAAGGGCTTCTTTCGGTCCCTCAGCCGGAAGTGCTGGAGCTGGAAAGGTGGCAAGAGAGAAAGACAAAGAGAGAGAGAGAGAGAGCGCGTGCGCAATCAAACCGTTTATCCACCTTATCCACCTGCAAGTCATTTCTTGAACGGCTGCAACAAGTCCAGCCTGTACAGGCTCTCGACCCCAGACAACAAAGCCATCTTGAAACCTGAGTATCGAGATCTGGCACAGGAGTGAATCAAACAGCAACGAAGTTAACTTCTTCTGCTGAAGCTTTCACTGATTTCAATTCTTCCCGGTTTGTCACTGGTTGCCAACGTAGATTCAACATGAAGGCAATGTGTCATGTTCTGCCATTCTAAGATATGAACTTTCCCTTCAACACAGCAATTTGGCTTGACTTCCGATTTCATGCGGTTCCTATCTGGAACTTGCAGAGCAGTATATACACTTTCTTCATCTTTCGCCCTTTTCTTGCGTGTGATGCGTGTGATTGATTGTCATTCGTCATTCCAGCCAAGATTCGCTCCAAGCGCTGTGGGTTCTCCAAGGTCGGTGGCAATGGGAGTTGGCCTGGCGGCACATCAGGGAGAACTTGCTGAGCTTGCGGCAAAAAGCGCTACTCGAGTACTACTCGAGGAAGCAGAAACATCAATTGAATCTATATAATGGGTTGAAGAGGAAAGGACTGAATTGTATTGTCCAAACGTACGAATCAGTTTGAATTTGAATGCTCTCATAGTAAACCATGGTGTTGCGTGATGTGTACAGGTTCTGAGTGAGCCAGGTTGCAGCTTCTATAAAGAGAAGCTATTTAAGTTTAATTCTAATAGCTTCTTGTTACTACTAGTAAGGCACCTGTTACTACTAGTAGCGATGCACTTGTTACTAATAGTTTCTTGTTACTACCAGTAAGGCACCTGTTACTAGTTGCAGCTTCTATAAAGAGAGACATGTTCGCCCTTTTGAACTGAGACTTGGCACATCGCATTTGTCCAAAGTCCAATGTCTCCTACTTTGGGTGACAGTTGGATGCTTTACCTTGCCTTGTGGCCTGGCGTGGAGAGTCATATATAGGTTGTTGTTCCCATTTCTCATCAAACAATTGTACAAGCTATACATTCTTGCCAGACTTGGATGGCAAAAGAAACGGGCTCACATTCACCGACTCTACTGCTTTGACGTTCAACGTTCTCTGGTAAGCATTCATTCTTCAGCTTTGGCAGCAGGTGCAAGATCAGGCTCAGCTGTGTTTCCCCTTTTGCGAGCAGCTCGCTGCCGTGCCGAATTGCCGGCATCTTTGTGGAAGGTCATCTTTCTAGCAACACCCACTTCTGGAAGGTCCAAGAAATTGATGTCTTCTGATCTTCTAGCCTCAGTCCACTCATCGCCACTTTCAATAATCTCAAACTTGTCCTCCAAGAATCTGTCGGATCGCCAGGTTACCTTTTTTCCAAAGTGTTTCCTGATGGAAGACGTTCGAATCTGTTCGTCCTCACTAGTCTCCATATCCATGCATCCATCTGGCAACCTGAAAAGCTCCATCTGCTGCAAAGAGGGCCCATGGCGGAAGTTCCCTTTCCGCGCTATGCAGCATGCAGTAACCATGTCTGGACTTGGTCTTGGTCGAGGCCGCACATCAGAACCAGCCACACCACCCATGCAAGGCTGAAACAGCACCAAAGGAGAACATAAAAGAACCGAACGTCCACAAAGGAACGCTGTTCGATCTCTCGAGTCTGTCAATTCGGTGACACCAAGATTCACGTTCGCAACGGCCAAGTCTGCAAAGTATCTTTTACCTCCAAATATTGGCTACCCACTGAGCTGTCATCCCATTTGAGCCAAAGAAGGCAAATGCGATAGTGGGAACACACACACAACATAAATTACACAAACATAATTTGACTATGACTCATAATGAAATGTCCAACCGGTCTTGGGTCTACGTTCGGGCTAAGGTCAAGCTATTCCCAGTTCTTTCCTTTCAGGGACCTTGCATGAATGTTGACACTGACTAAATTTTAAGTGTAAATCTGAATTATGTGGCCGCTTGCAGTCCTCCACCAAAGAGAAAAAGGAACCCACAAATCTCTGCAACATATGATGTCAATGCAGGAGTTGGGAGACACATGTGGAGAAATACGTATGATTCTGCCAGATCTGCAAGGTCTATCCAGGATTTTTTGTTACATGCAAGGTTTATCCGGGCGATGGTTTGTGCTTTCTTGATGGATCTTTGCTTCGCTTCAAGACTTGAAGTCATTGTGGCCATATCCAATGGAGGTCTGGAAACAATCTTACACGGTGAAAGAACAAAAGGACCAACAGCTGATCGGATTTGCTGGGTGGCTGACGCAAAGTGGCACTGAAGCGCTCAAGCTCGTGAAGCTCTGGCATGGCTGAAAGGCCTCCACTTGAGGTTCATCCGATGAATATACGGGTGAACAAGGGTTCAACATTGGCACAACAGGCTTAAACCTTCTTTTTCTACTTATTGGCCAGGGAGCAATATTTTTCAATATTGATCGCTCGAAGCTCAAATCATCCACCATGACGTCAATCAAAAATCAACATATTCCACTTGCAAACCAACACCTCCTGTTCGGCTCAGGAGCCGGCTGTGTGACAAGTGAACAAATTGTGGGAAGCTGCAGGCCAAACACTGCGATGTGAATCTTTGGCAGAACAGACCCGCGCTTTCAGAAGATGAGCCAAGAAGAAACAAACAACCACAAACAATAAATCCTCCATCCTTTGCGATTTAGTGAACAGGCTACATGCGGCTACAAGGAAGTGCAGTGGCTTTCTACTCAAAAAACACTATGTGCTGTGTATACAACTGTGTATAATATAGTGTACATATATATATTATATTTATATATTAATATATAAATGTTCTTGAAGTAAGACTCCACTGTGGCAAATGTCCAACTCACAAACTTGCTGATCAAGACCTCAAGACCACAGCCCCAACAAGCTCTGCCCCTGGCGCAAGGGTGTCAGGCCATTAGAGACGGCTACTTCTGGGTCCTGCAAAGAGAAAAGGGAGGATGCTTCTCATATTTACAAAGCCAGATGGCATGAACAGAAGTTCTGCCCACACTCCGGGCTTGAACATGTTCATTGCACTGTCCTTCGTGTTCCCTGCCCAGGCATTGTAAAGCTTGATCATGTCGGTGAGAAGCCACTGCAAAGCAACACGGACTTCCGGCAGGTTGAATGACAGCGGGCAGGGGTTGATGGAACCAATCATCTGGGGAACGTGGATCGATTGCTTTGCTTTGCATGTGCTACAACTCCTACCTTCTGACTTTTGTCGTCACAGCCATCGGCACCTTATTGTTGCTTAACGATGCTCAATGATGCCGAACGTGGAATGGTGTGGATACACACACATATATATATATACATATATATAGTGTAATGCTGGTTCTTGCTGTGGTATTCTATGAAACTGGAAATGATTGGGTTCAAGCCTGAAGCAGACATGTGCACACACACACACACTTAGAATGACAAACGCGTTGTACCAGCCAAAGATGAAGAGGGGCGCACCACACTGCTGCACAGGGTCAGGATCAGGATGACCCCGTTGTGCCCCGAGCAAAGCCAGGATACAAGGCAGGCCTAAGAAAGGCAAAGTGCAAAGGGACTTGCCCAAGCGGTAGTGTTACACCTGCGTTCATTGGAAAAGAACTCACGAGCGCCAGGCTGTTCCGACTATGGTTGCCAAGATGGTGTCCCAGGCAGTCGGCACTGGCACCCTCCAGCTCTGGAGCAAACCAACGTGGGGTCGATTACCTTCCTTCATTTTATTAGCCTACTTCTACTTAACATACTTAATCAAGCAGGCGTCCATTAAAATTAAGGGAGAAGTAAGCTACTAGCAATAGGAAGCTCTTAGCTAGGACGCAGGATGGCTCACGCTTGTTCAATTCAAAGAAGGGCCGGGGGGAGCAATGATCATTTGGTTCCTAGATGTTTAGGGAAATATATAACATATAGGATTGTCATAGATTCTCGAGGGAGTTTCTTTGCATTTTCTTCGGACGTAGGGCTATGTCTCAGAATGCTACCAAGCCGTCTTCTGACAAGAAGCAAGAGCAACATCACTTTAGAATGACACTTCACTAGCAACTCTGTTCAACTCTTTTGGCTTTGTCGATCTTTGTTGCATGCCTTATCATGCATCCAACAATTTGTAAAAATTGGCTAGAAACTGCTAGCGATGGCCTCCAACCTACTAGCAATGGCCTCCAACCTAGTAGCAATGGCCTCCAACCTAATAGCAATGTTATGGACAATATGTCTCAAAAGCGAAACTGACGCATTGTCTGAATTTAGAACTTGCTGCTCGCGCGGCTTGTCTTGGCTCGACATGATTCGGCCACAGCTTTGGCCTGGGAGCACTAGGTCAGTAGGAAGGACCAAAGGGCCTGGAATCTATTTCCCAGACTTTGATAAATTGAAAGAACATTGAACAGTTTTAGAACCTGTTAGCATGAAGCACCAAGTATTCACTAAGGTTAGCAAACTCTGGGCCAAACCATCCTTTGCATCATTATGTCACACAAGGTACAGAATCCATGAAGGGTCAAACGTTCTGCACATCTATCACAATCAAGCCGTGCTTTGTTCCTGATGCGTAGAACAGCTGCTGTTGCAACAGCCAAGCATCTCCATTTCCATTATGGACATACTTATTGCACTTTGTTGCAGCCATTCTGGTCATTCCATCAGAATTATATATATATAATTACTTGGATTCTGCTCTGTCATTAACATGATTTGTAGCAAGGCAATTAGGCACTGGCACAAATGAAGAATGGTTCGTTACCTGGCACAATCAACCAAGATTAGGAAGTGCTTCGCTAAACAAGAACATCTGCAAGCCGGAAAGCTGAGAATGAGTTGCTGCACCAATTGACCAAGCCACAATGAACATGGCGAAGTGTCACACAAACACGAAAAGCTTTACGCCCTGGCTGCTGTGGCCTTGCTTCAGTGGCTGGAGACTCCATAAGGTGAAAATTCTATATGGCTCCCCAGCTGCAAAAGGAGCCCAGCAGAGTTCGGGCAAAGCACAGGAGCAAGCATCACAAATCAACTGTATATAATGAGCACACCGTGCTTGAAGCGATTGCTCTTGAATCCGCTTGAATATTTGCGCACTGTCCCTTATTTCAGGCTTGCAACCTACCTCGAAGTCAATCCAAAATCCTCACAGCGCATTGGCTGCTTGGGACTATGTGCTGTCACTTCACCTGGGCTGACGCTTTAGTACTAGGCAGTAATAGTCTGACTCATCCTCCAAGAACTCAAGAGCAAGCTCTGGCACCTCGATAGGGTTCGATGTTTGATGCAACAGGGTGAGACTCCACACATGCCGAGATTAAACCGACAAGACTCTTTCTTGAACTGTCAAAATGGGATGCTTGTGTTGAAAAGGGATTCCCAAGCCATGCCTTCTTGTACCACTTTCTTCCATTTCTTTCCACGTTGATATGGAAAGGATTTTAGCTCGGAGCCGTCACCCCCGCTAGTAGTAACAAGTGCCACGCTAGTAGTAACAGGTGCCTACGGTGAAGTATCGAACGGACAAGCATCCTGCCTGCCTGGGCAAGCATCTGCTTTAGTTCCTCGCTTCCAGGAAGATCGTGAAGGACCTAAAGCAAAGGCAAAAGCTGCTCCCATTCCTCACTTTCTTGCCGTGCAATTGCTGCAAAGCTAGAAAACAACATCATGCACATACCAGGAGATATTCGACCTGCCGAATTCATAACTGATTGTAAGGGAACAATGATAGACTTTGCATCTCTTCACATAATGTGATTACTTATATACATCAATTTACGTTTCTCACTTTCAGTGCTATGCTGAATGGAAGTGATTATGCTGAGAGCCCTGGCCATGCGTGGATCCTTTTCCTTTAAAGTTGTGAGCCACGCCCGCCCAAGAGGATGGCTGATGACCTTGCGGTGCCACAAGGACCAGCTTGAAGAGGTTTCTGCTAGAAGGTCTGAGGTACTGTAATTGTTGCTGAAAGGAACCCAACAACTCACCTCACATGAATGACACAATATACTGAAAGTATAAGCCGGAATTCCTTGCAATGCACCTGTTGGTGGGCTTGAGGAACTTCGCTGGGTCAACCAAACTCCTTGAGACCTCCTTACCCGACCCATGCAAGCTAGACCTGACTTGGCGTCCGTACCACAAGGCCACCATCAGACAAAAGCTTCTGTGCTACATGCTTGAGTACTGCTACTGGATCATAGAGGTTTCCAAAGCAGGCATTGAAGACCTCAACATAGAATGATGAAAGAATCCAATCAGCCACAAACAGCTTGCGCGTCTGTCAGAAAACATGTACATAAGGTCAGTGCGACGCGGTCATAAGGACCACCTTCAAAGTGAAGCACATCATCCTGGACAAATCTTGCCTGTGGGAATCCTCAGTTTGGCACTCTCACCGTCCAATGTTGTTGAATTTTGTCCTGGATTTGCTGCCAAAAGGCGCTCCCTTGCGAAGCCTAACATCCCAGCTGAGAGGTCAACACCAGTAATTTGCGCAAGATCACCTCCTGACTCTTTGAAGAAGGGCAGCAGTGCACCTCATTGAGGGGTCGCAAAAGTTTCAGTGATATGGTTGGTCGAGTCATGCAGCAACTCGACAGTTGTCTTTGGAATATTAAACGATATGATTTTAGTGCTCTGAAAGTGAAAATATAGCTCAAGCAGCAACACACACTCACTAGTTTTTCCACGTTAGAACATACATATACATCTAGGGCTTCACAATGAATGCTCCCTAACCCAGCCTGTGCCAGTTCCGACGTCAAGCAAAGTTGTCCTTTGCATGGATCCAACTGCATCAAGGTTCAACGATGTTCAATGGAAAAAAGCACTTGGCTCAAGCCCTGATGCCGCAACGAAGGCCGAATAAGTAAGCATCACTAAGAACCCATTGCAACGGAAACCGAGACAGCATCTTGCAAGAATTACTCTTAATATATCTTAGTATCATATCAAATGTTCCTTTATCATTCAAATCGTTTGTCCTTTCGCATCCAATTTCTCCCAGTGGCTTCGACTCAAGGCTGCAACTTTTCGCAATCCGCTGTAAACGCGGCACCACAGCGGGAGGCGTGGCAGTAGCGGAGGCAAAGAAGTCAGATTTCTCGTCAAACACCTCGCACATGTTTCAGCTATGTAAACAGGGTTGCACCAACAATAGTGTCAGTGTGCTATTCAATCTCACTGTAAATTGTGGCATATTGTGGAATGCTTCAATGAAACACAAACCAGGACCAAAGCAAAGCACTCGACTTTGCAACGTCGTTCTTTGAATGCCTTTCTCTGGTAGGCATTGTGCTCCGACGGGGTGTCCATGCGCAAGGGCCGGGCCGCAAATCCCTGCACCAGGTCGGCATATAACATGGGCGCTCTGAGCAAAGGTTGAAATGGGATGAAATTACATGGGAATTGAATAAAGCTAACGTAAACTTTACCTAAGCAATGTAAACTGTACACATAGCCTTTTGAAAAAGGCCTTATTGATCCTTATTGTAGGTCTCCCAAGTCTTGGCCATGGCCTTGGCTTTACACTCTTGAGACTTAGAACAACAGCGTCTTCAGCGTCTACTGCCCCTTCCTTCACTCTAACGTAACGAAGTCTGGGAGATGTCTGAAGTTTTCCCGGTGCAAACGATATGAGCGCTTTGTAAAGAGAGAGCAGTTGCAAATTCTTCAAGGTGCCCCCAAGTGCCAATGAAGTATGACAGCTGAAAATGCTACAGATAACTACTCAGTCCTACGTTTCTTTGAGCTAGAGCTGCCTGAGAAGGTTGTGAAAGCACGCTCTTTGCAGCTGTCAATGCCTCAAGTGGTCAGAAACAAGGCTTTGATCTCTGGACTACCATTCTGTCAGCTTCTAACGGAATATGAGTTGATATTTGAGTGGCAATCATTGGCTGGCTTGCTTCGAGGAAAAAGGTGGAAAAGTAGCTGTGCTGCTGTTGGACATCCAAAATGGAAACTATTGGGAACGTATGCACATACTGGCACCTTTGGGAAGCCAAGTGCTCATCGGTCATTTGCAGCAAAAAGTCTATATATTACTGTATACATTGTATACTCTATACTAAATAAATAAGTTGTTCTACATTTTGCCAAATTGTCGTCTCAAGCATGGCAGCTTGATTTTGACTCGATTTAAACTAAATATACTAAATTTGCTGATCTCGGCGCTGCATAGGCCACCAATGCACGACGGGCAGGGACAATTGCCACCCGATTCATAAGCTACTTCACACAGCTCGGGTTCTTCAGGACTTTTCTTCAAAACCTTTCTTGTTGCCTTGAACAGCTCGCCTGATCCTTTGCCAAGGAACCCAAAACCTTCTGGTCTGGAATCTTGATTCGGGATTGCACAGCAAGCTGAATGCATTACTCTCGTCAGGTCTGAGCCAAAAAGCTGCAAATAGCATCTGTGAGCTGCGAGGGCTGCGGGCTCCAGACCATGCGAGACCAGTCCTTTTAGGCCTCACCCTTCTGAAAAGCGCTTGCTCCCTTCTCATTCTGCGCTGGCTGGTGTACATTGTGAAAGTTGAAGTAAATCAAAGGCGAAACAAAGTATCCATTGAAATTCAAAGGCTCCAAGACATTTGCAAAAGCCATTCCCGTGGCAGACTTCTCTCAAAAACGCCGGCCATGCCGAGAAACACGAAAACCAATGCAGGAGTGCTAGCTCCAAATCAAGATCAGTCATCGTCTGCAGCGGCAGTCACATCCGCTGTCAATGTATTCATAGCCTCGTCTGCCTCACAGTCATAGTCAATAGCATTTGTTTCGATCAAGGCCTTTAGGTGGAAGCATGTTGGATGAAAACACAATCGCCAAAGCAGTCTACAGCTTGTCAAGTCCGCACACATACAATAAACACATCCACAAGGGCTAGGGAAGGTCTGCTCCGGGAAAAGTGGATCCCGTTTGGACTTCTCTGGACCAACCCACCTCTGGACGCATCATCTCCACACCAACATCATCTCCACCATCGCCATGCAGCTCCATCAACCTAGGACGATGCGGAAGAGTCAACAGGCATTGAACGCAAATGCTTGTCCTAATCGAGGCAGGCTTGTTTCGATTGAGAAGCTTGGTAATGTCAAACTTTGGCTTCTTCATGATCTTGACCTTTCGAATCATGCAGTCCTTGAGAGGGAAAATACCCTTGCACTGCTTCTCAATCTCTTTCCCAATCACTTCCGGGATCAGCTTTTTGACCTTGTACAAATCGCTGGGGTGGTTGGAAAGTCACAGGATTCCAACATGTTGCTGAAATTACTTACATGTTAGCAGCTTTCAAAACGCTTGTCAGAACTATTTGGAGAGCCAATCCTGGGCATGCTTACTGCAAAGGAAAGAATCACTCGCCATGGAATGAATCAATGCTGCTGCTACAGGACTTTCATATTTGTATGCACATCCACAAGTCAAGCAATGATCAAATTTGGGAAGCCACTAGTTCCCGAAGCTGACACTTCGCGGCCTCCTTGCCAAAGGGGAACCAAGAACATTGCTTCAAGTCTGACTGACTTGACATGTGTCTGGTGTAGATGCACACATGTGTTGACAAGGTGGTGCCAGAACGGACTGAGCTTGAGCATCACGATTGTCTGAGCTTCTTCACTGATTTCTAGATTCTAGAACATGTTTTCAAATTGCCACTTTGCCCATCATAACTTATGTATCGGCTTTGAGACAGTCTGCCTGCACAATTTTTGAGACCCCAAACCCCTATATACGTGGAATATCAGGCAAATGCTCACCACTTCTTTCCAATGGCTTCTTCTTACTACTAGTAGCGATGTCCTTGTTACTAGTAGCTTCTTGCTCCTAGTAGTAAGGCCAGGAGCTACTAGTAGCTTCCTTGCTCCTAGTAGCGATGCCCTTTGTTACTACAACTTTTCTCACCTGTGGTTTTAAAGATTCCTTTGCAAAGTCGTCTGCTAAGGACTATACTTATTTAACTAGTTTACAACAGTAAGTTAGTTTAGAAGCTTCTCCCAAAACCACAGACCATTACTAAGGTGTTTGCAGCAGCGCTCAGTGCTCGCCAAAATTGGGTGTGCTGTGTATGTTGATGAGTTGCATTCTGGTTTCTGAAAGCATTCTTGAAACATATTGAAAGCGTAGGTTGAGTCCAAGTTGGAGCTCCCCATCTCCTGACTGGCTGGCGGTTCCTACCTCACCACTGCTGTTTGAGCTGGTGGTTTGCATGAATGCCAATGGTTTGGTGCATCTGGTCTTCTGCCCCTTCTCTGGGCATGACCATGAGAAGCATTTCAGTTAAGTCGGCACAATGCTTTAGCCAACTCTGAAAAGAAGGCATGCCCACGAGCGCTTTGTACAAAGCATCATGGAGAGGTTTTCCTTACTCAACCTATTCTATTCTCTGCTCGTCAGGAGCCAATGTATGGTAGGTTTACAATGTGGGCGGCGCAGGATATGTCTGAGGGCGCAGGAGGCTTGTGGAAAACTATGGAAGCGGCGGCACACAAAGCACAAAACAGTCTTTTGGACCAAACCCTGTGAATTTAAAACAAAGGGGATTATGCAGCATCTCCTGCGTCATGATCTCCGTCATCTTTCGCCGGATTTTTCGAATTTGTGCAGACTGCGCATAGCAGTTGTTCTTCACTTGCCCGGCTTGTCGAGCGGTGAAAGCAATACAAAACCTTTGTAACACACCAAGTACAAGCTTCATCAAAACGACAAGTTTAACTGCTTGTAAAGGATTCTCTCTGTGCTGAGTCATGAGCTGAGTTTCTACTGGATAACTACACGAAGTCACGAAGTGTCCGATAAAAATATGCACACATATGCACACAGGTTCTTGAAGGGGATGACTAAGATCAATTGTGTAAGCTCCCAACATGATCATGAATCATGGGTTTGTTCAAGTGTTACCCTCTCTTGGGTTCAAGTAGCATCCGCACTACATAGTTGTCACTGGTCTTCACGTCAACCTGGGCTTCAATGAGCGTCTGCCACTTCCTTGGTTCAACACATCATATCCACGTAGTTGCAGTTGATTTACAGTATACCATTGGTCAGCTTGTTGACAGAAAGACTCAGAAAGACCTCATGTGAGTCCTACAAATCAAACCTATAGTAATATAGTATCATAGTATCGTTGGGAACAGGACTTTCTAGGCCCGGTCCTGACATCAAGTCCCTCACATACCGGAGCTGCCCTTTGGGACTGCTCACACCAGCGAGCAGAATTTGAATTAGCTCAATAGCATAGAACCGCCGTGTGCACTGGGCACATCCTGGCTTTTCTTCATTTAATGGATAGAGGATCATCTCATTCGTGTACACTTCTTCTTGCGTTCATGGCAGAGCCAGCACTCAAGGAATGAAGGTGCTTGCAATTGGAGTAATTGTGAATTGTTACATAGGTTTGGGTCAGAACAAGACCCCGGGCCGGCTTGGACATTGAAACTGCCGCCCAAGGGTCAGTGTGTACACTGTACACCCCGACAGAGACATATATGTTTTAGATCCGAGGCATTGTTCTATCTGTGGATTTGTTACTCTTGCCAGGCCAACTGGGGACGCTCTAAGTATCGAGTATAGATTCAGCATCATCTATATATATAAGTGTTCACTTAGAACGTTCACTATAATATATATATTTTTTATTCCTGGTAGCTGGTACAAGTAGCCAAGTGATTTCCACACTATAAACGAGGAGCTTGATGAGCGAGCAAATCTTGTCTCGTGTCAGCTGCATGCCATGGAAGTCGGTCAGGCAGCTTCTGCCTTGAACCTCCTGCCACGTTTTCTTTCACTATCCTTCTCTGCTGTTTTTTTTTTTTAACTTGCTTAAATCTATAAATTCCGTGCCAAACCTCAATGCAAAGCCGAATTTTCTTCGAGGATTGGTCTTCGTCGCTGTTGAGATCGGCCAAGTTCACCTGCACAAACGAACAACATGTGCTCGTTGTGTCGGCTCAAGCCCTTCATTTCAACTGGTATGGGTTTTGCCAAAGAGAGTTGGATGGTCACGACTGTTGCAAGAAAGTCTGGGACTGCAACCGCCAGGAATGGAAAGCACGGATCTGTAACTCCACAAGTCAGCTGATCCGAGTCGCCTCGTTCGTTTGATTCATGGTCCATCAGAATTATCCTTATATTAGCAAAGGATAAAACAAACAAAACAACGCTAAACAATGAAGGTGTTTGGGGCCCCAAAGGGTCCCTTAAACAAACACTGTCTTGTGTTTGTCTCTTTGTTATATTATATATATTGTGTATAAATGAATTCATATATAGATTATGGAGAATTTGTATTTTCCATAAATGAAACACAATGTTTATGAGATTTTTTGCCAGCCAGAGATTGGAAATCAATGACTTATATAATTGTTTGTTGTTTTTTGGTTGTTTTTTTGCTGTTTGCATTTGCTGTTTTTTTGCTATCGTTATTTTGTTGTTATTTGTTTGGCATTTTGCATTTGCATTTTTTTGCGTTTTTTTGGTATTGTGGATTTTGCTGCCTGATGCCTTTGTTGAGGAAAAGTGTTGTTGTTGAGTTGTGGCTTTGGTGGGTGATTTCAACAGTACGTCCTTTGTGTTTGTTGCTGGTTGCCTTAAAGCGTGTTTGCATCCGTTTGGTTTGTTCTTTGTGACAAAGTCAAATTGAATGAACTCAAGTTGAAATCAAAAAAAATCAACTGCGGCTCCTCCCTATGAACCGCTGTGTGGTTCCGTGTGCCGGCCTCCAACACCCGACCTTTCAACTCCTCTGTGGCAATCTTTGTACCTTGCGTCCTGGACACCAAGGTTTTACCTCAAACATCGGCGGTGAGGAACACCAAGTGCTTCATTCGAATATCAATGAACCCTCAACGGCACACCAAAGAAGCTGGGTCTGTGGCCGCAATTGCGCTGGGTGAACCTCGGTGTCGCGAGTAAGAACAACATCGCATGGCAAGCAACCAGTTGCTTCTCTTGTCATTACCGCAAAACAAAAATTATTGTGCCATTGAGTGGTTATGCTCTTGTTAATTTCCGGCCAGCAACATACTTGGAGCCTTAATGTCATACCATTCCTTTCTGAGAAATGGATCACCAGCCTTCTTCTTGCCACCCTTTTTGCCTCCTTTGGTGAGGCGCTTGTTTTTTCCAACGGCCATGAAACAAAGCGGGCAGAATGCTCTTTGTAGATCTGCACACTCGAACCAATTTGGCCACTTGCGTAACGCTTTGGACATCAATCATTGATGTGCTTGACCTTCTTTGATATGCTTCAGCTTCACACCGATCGCAAGCACCTCTTAGATACAAGACAAATTGAATATCAAAGTTATCAGAATATAGAAAATGACCGAGTAAATTTGAACAGAACACTGAACTCCAATTGCCCCTTACAAAGTGTCACTTTGACCAAATCCAATGTCTTCTTGACAATTTTTTGACTATGTACTTGCCGCTATCTGTGTAATTGATTCTGCAAAAGCCCGTTCCTTGGCTTTCTCTGCCGGCAAGCCCTAAGACCGCCAGTGTACCGGCAAGGCCTAGGAATAGTCTTTTTTACAAAAGCCTGTCCCGCACAATCTGGCATCCCTCAGCTGGACAGTGTGACAAACTTAATACGCAGTTAATTACTAAGGACAGTAAATACTGCAAAATTCCAAATGACTGAATTCTGACATAGTGCAAATTCTATGTCTTAATTTCAACTACCATGCAGCGTGCATCTCGAGGCTCTGCTCAAGTATTCAGTCAGTTGTTCAATTTTTCAACGAAACGCCAGCAAGAGTAGTCGTTCACTTGTGCACTGGCTTCGATTCCAGCACTCCGGGTCCAAATTTCACACCGTCCGAGTCTATGATATTCGACACCCGTGCAATTTGATGCTTCTCTGCACTTGCGCTGGCAATCTTGCAACGTTGGTAGAGCAATCAAAACAGTGAAGTAGCGGGCAGAATTGTCGGAAGGGGATGAACCTCGACATACACGATCCCATGCTCCATCGACTGGCTCAAACTCTCCGGAGCGAAGTGGAATCGGCTCGGTGGGTTCAGCATAGCTAAGGCAAGTGAAGCCCGGCAAAGACTTGCTACTTTGGACGCCGTCTGCCCTGGTCCAAAGCTCACAACGTCTTCCAGAATACTCGACGCCAACACAAGTGGTCATAGCTTCACACATGTTCTGGCACACTTGCAAAGACAATGCCTTTTGAACAGAATAGTAGCTCTCTGAAATATCATGTGGGCTACTGCCTCGACAGGCTCTGTCATCTCCTCCTTCAACTGGAAGCCACTCTTTTGCTGAGGCTGAGCTTGTGGTCGGCATGGCTGTGCTGGTCGTTTGAGAACGGCAGGAGGTTCCAGTGGATACTGGCCATGAGTCAAAGCACTCAAAGGTCACGAAACTACCTCCTTCAAGTTCAATGTTGAAGGAAGCAAATGCTCTGCCACCAGTCTGGCCTGCTGTACTTGCAGACCATGTGGCCCCACTTACTCCGCTCATTGAAAAGTTTTTCCCCGCCCAACACCACTGCAGCATGCAGCACACCTCGGGGGAGGTTTGAGAAAATCACTTTGGTGTACCAAGCGTTGCTGCCATCGAGCACGGTGACAACTGGTCCACCCGAAGAGACTTCGCAATCCACTGGCTCGTAATGAATTGGGAATACCCCAGTGGAAGCTCCTGTGATGATGTTGAAAGCAGTCAGTTGACAATCAAATGTCTTGGCGGATCCTGAGTCGACAATCTGCACTACAAGGCTACCAGCTCTTCCTGGATCTGTCGCTGGACTACCGTCATAGGACACAAGCCAGCATGAGCCACAAGCTGCACCACCTGAGTACAATGCATCATCTGCTGCGCAATACGTCCGAGAAGCCACGTATGGGCTGCTGGCAGCTGGTGAGTTGATTCCTCCATTTCCAGAGTTTGCATATTCGCAAGAGCCTCCCACAATTGTGGTGGAGCTGTCTGACCACATTGTCATCATACCAGCCAATGACAGCCTTTGAATATTTCCACCATGCTTGCCAATGAGCTGGCGCGCTTGGAGCATGAGTGGGCCATTTGTGCAGGACGAGGTATTTCCTGGACACACAGCTGCATTGGCAAATGTCCAGCAAATAGCGCTAGTGACCAGCCACCCCACGCGTCCTGAGATCATCAACTACCAAGTAGGACTAGTGACTGGCTTTCCTCCGCTACATTGCACAACCTGACAAAGCCGAGTGCAACTGCAGGATTACCATGCACAAGCGCGCGGACTTTCGGACCCTGTAAATACGTAAGGGTTTTTAGGTGTTTTTAGATGGGGTTCCGGTGTTCCCTGAAGTCATTCACACTTCAACTCAATCGGATTGAAGATTCGAAGTGTATAAACAGGCAGCTTGCAGCTACACATAACCACTGATTTAGCTCTAGATTCTGAGAACACTGGTGCAGCTTTGTACTCAAGCAAGTCTTTCAGACTCCGAACCTGACAACGGGTCTACTTTAGGGCTGCCAGGGAACTTTGGAAGTGAAACGCTTCAGACTTCAGATTCTATCTTCAAATTGTAAAGACAATGCTACCAGCCTCTCAGCTGTCAGTTTTCTGAAGAGATGATGCCTAGCGTAGAGCCTCAGCCACTGAGGAGGTTGCGCAAGGTGACCCTGTTAGAAAAGACTGCATAAGAACAAAACAGTGTGAGCTTGGCTATGGAGGCAGCAAATATCTTTTAATGCGAGACATACATATGCAGCATATCATGCATCGAGTTCTCAAAGCCTAAGACCAGCCCAACAGTACAGTATCACTGTAAGTTCATCACTCGCCACTCCACACCGCCGCAACGAGGGCCTTGTTGGAATTTTGGCGCACAATCTTTCCCACAGTGTTATGTTCTCTGACGTGGCTATGAATACAGTTGGTTACAAAAACAATTGTACTGAGCGGTGTAAGTGCCCGGCAGCCAATCTTGCCACCAATTAATATGTCACGAACCTGTGCTTCATGTCTGGGGCGAACACTAATTAGTAAATGGTGCTATACGTACAGTTAGAGACGAATAGATAAACAAACAAGAATATCTGAATATCCATTGTTGACTTGCTTGTAACAGGAACAATACAAAATCAAACCACCAAACGTAAATAACATCAGTTCAGTAAGTAGTGGTTCAGTAAGTTGTTCCCTCTCGGTACAAGGGGCGCTGGTGTTCTACCTCCTTTCAACTTTCAACATTGTTTTTGTCATATCAGGTCCATTGTGTTCGAGTAAGGCTGTTGGATGGAAGGCATCAGACTAGAGTCTCCGGACATTAAAAAATGCTTGATCAAGAGTGTGGTGCTGGTGTTTACTTGAAAGTCAAAGTGATAAAAAACGATAAGCACAACTGAACCTCAAAAACACCTTTACTGTATATATATAAATCAAACGAACTGCGAAAACATGCCATTGTTCAATTGACTTGACAAACCACACCCAGCATTACAAATACATGTTGCACACGCCCATGAACAGCAAATGTGTGCTAAAACTGGTGCGGCAAACCCTCTCAAAGACAATCCAAAGCTGGGTCGAAGTGACTTCTTACGAACCAATACGACTTTGACTTGAACCATACCCCAATACATATCATGTTCATAACTCTTTATGGCTCTCTTTATGCCCTTGCCAGTTATGCATAGTTATGCAACTTAAAAGAGCTGGGTATATTATATTGAGTTGCTTTATGTTGCTTTGGGACAAAGCCGCACCCGACCAAAAGCAGCAGCTGCCAGTGTCACCCTTCATGCTTGGAAGTTCTTATGCTCTGCATTGCAACCTATTCAAGCCACGGCCTGTGTAGTACTATTCGGAGGTAGCTGTTCTTGTGTTTGATATTGCTTTGATTATGTCTTGTTTGATATCAGCTCGCAGCCTTGAAAGAACCACTCACCATCTTTTGCTGGAGCCACAATGGAAGCGCTCGAACCAGGTGATTCACCCCCCAGTGGTCGGTGCACATATTATTGATGTCATATGTACCCGAAAATCAAAAACATCCCAAAGCAACAAAAGCAGCAAGCAGTCTTTTGTCGTAGTGCTTTGAGAGATGCATGGGTCCTCCCCAGACCCCATCCGTGATGGTCACCTTGCGACCGTTCCACAAAAAAATCAGGGTGTGGCAGGCAGTTACAATCACCAGCTCAGGCCTGACACACCCGTTGCCCCTGCTCTCCGTCCAGGGCCGGCGGCGCCTGTCAGGAGACCAGGGGCCCGGGGTCAGGAGGACTCCCACCGGATCCGGTCATGGGATCTTGGGTGGGAAGCTAGGAAAAATTTGTACTCGACAAAAGGCGAGGTGCTAGGGAAAAGGAAAAGAGAAATTCCGGAGCCGGTGCCCGGCGTTCGGGGGAGAATCCCTGAAAGTCTGGATGTGTGAGTTCATCCGCCCACTGCAGCCCTCACGGCATCAGAAGGGCCGCGGTGTGAGGCTTCTTGGATGAAAGGTTCAGCAGGCTGAAGATGTTGCCGGAGTTGTCACTGCCAACAGGTAATCGGACCCGACCAGACCTCATGCCCTGTTGGGCGATCAGGTGTTTGCAGAGTAGCAAGGTAATGAGTAGTTTGAGGGCAGCAATGCGCATCTGGGGGGTTCCATCCTGCCCAGGAGTGCTTGTCGGGCAGGATCTGGTAGTGGAACCAGTAGGCCCTTGGAGGGGTGAGGGTCTTCGCTGCACCATCCCCCCAGCCGGGCGGTGTGGCCCCTTGCTGGTCTCCAGGCTACTTCATCGTCCAAATCTTCTCTTGGTGGGCAATTGCCCGCAGCGGGAGGTACTGCTCAATGATCCTGGTCACCAAAGGGGTCGAAAGTGGGTACCCCGTGAACTGGCCGAAGAGGTCTGCCATCTCCTTCTCAGTACAGAAAAGGTTGGCCAGGTGCCCTGCTATCGGCGGGAACGACGTTGGGAACATGTCGAACCGCAGGTGGTTCGGAGGGTCCTCAGCGACGGAGAACCTGATGGGCATCGGGACAGAATGGCTGTCCACTCCTTCCCCCGAGTGAAGCCAGGGAGTGTAGGCGCCTTTGATGAAGGCGTCCTCCATTCTGCCGGTGGAGGCCTCTTGGCAGGCCGTGGAGGCTTAGGTGCCTGGCTGCCTGGAGGGGTCGTCTGCCCCTGTCCCTGGAATCCGCTGCGTCTACACTATATCCCGCCGGTCCGGGGTGAAAACCTGGGCCCGGGCGCTCATCCGCTGGAGAAGCCGCCTCTGGGCTCTGCTGCAGAAATGGGCCATTCCATTGGTGGTTCAGCCATCTCCACCATGGGGGCAGTCGCAGCATCAGCCGCCAAGGAGGGTTGAGGCCCCCCAGCAGCTGGGCCAGAGGCACCAGGAACCGAGGGGCCTAATCAGTCGTGGTCGCAGGCGCCGGGATGTCCGTGCCCTTGTTGGCGTCCTCCATGCCTTGAAAGTGGACCCGAAGGTCGTCCATGTGTCGGGTGAGGTCCCGGATCTGTGCTTGGATGTCTAAGTCTTCCACCACGACAGGTTTGCCAAAAAGGGAGGGGCCGGCAGCTGCCTCGTCCTCAGCATGGCGGAGGGCTGTGGACGCCGCGTCCGCTTCCTGGTTGAGTCGATCCATGTCTGGGCTACTGACTGTGGCCGTATCCATCATTGTCTCAGCCCCATCGGCTGGTTGAGCTTCCGTAAAAGTTTCAAACATCACGTACTCTGATGTACTCTGACTCCATAGGGTGCGCCGTGGCGATGTCCACAGAAAGAAAACCTATGGGCGTGAACTTTTTCAAATCTCTGTTGGCAACTCACTCGAGGTTGCCACCCAACTTGAGCCAAAATGTCCCGGTGGGACATTTTAGTGAGTTTTCGTGAACATAAAACTTGCAACCGCAAGCTCAATGCAAGTGTGAAAATCTTCGCAAAACAGCACAGTCCAATAGGCAATTGCTTCTCACTTCTCACCACATGTTGTGAATGCTGAAGATAACGGATGATCAACAGGTTCGGACTTGTCAGTCAAAGAAAAGTTGCCTGCCGCGAAGGGGGTGAGGTTCGGCCTTGGCTTCGTCAATTCTACAATGGGTTTACATGGTTTTACACAAAGCTTCACAGGACTAAAGCCAGGCAAAGTGAAATAATTAGTGGTCAGTGGAAGAGAAAATAACATAGTACTGTAACAAGAAGCTGCTAGGAACAAAGGGCATCGCTACTAGGAGCGAGAAGCTACTAGTAGCTCCTGGCCATACTACTAGGAGCAAGAAGCTACAAGTAGCATAGATCCTGAGAAATGGACCTGGATCGTAAATCCCAACCTGCTTGCGCGTACCCCACGGTGCCCTAAACAGGCTGGTCCTGTAAGACAACATGCAACGGCAAAATAGCCTGCAACAATTCTAATATCTGAAGGCTGAACGCGTGGATGGAAAGGGGTAAGTAAGAGTGTTCTACATCTCGTGACACATGCTTTGGGGAGCCCGTCTTTTGAGAAAGCACAAAAAGAACGTGCCAAAACAATACATAGGCATCCGGCATCATTGCATTGTCGATTGTCATGTGTGTGTGAATTGACACGAGGCAAATGAAGGCAAGCTAGATATTGAATCGCATATTGTCCTGGCTTGCACAGAGGCGTCGGGCATATGCCGCCTGCTTGCGGACGCGGCAAAGGGATCATACTCTTTGTAACGTTTGCAGAAAAGTCCACGTCCCATACCTTTTGGAGAACAAAGCAACCTTATCCACAAAACAAATATTTCCCAAAGCAAAGACTCAAATGCCGCTCCAAAACAGCGGCCCAGGCCAACTAATGCACCCTGTCAATTTCTTAAGTGCATGATCTTCCGGATGTTTGGCGCCATCTGCCACGGTTAGACTTGAGTCGCCACATTGGCGAAAGTAATCGAAAGCATTTGGATAGCAGGTCACAATGGGCAAACCTCGACAGGAAACATGTGCTCGAGGGATGCTAATATACATGTATATAGTAGTAGTAGTAGTAGCAGCAGCTGCCATGCAGTGAAATATGTAGGTGGTATCACAAATCAAATTTGCCCCTCTGAACACTGCTTGGAAGCATTTTGAGCACTTGTTCAGGGAGTCCCGCATACAAATGCAGCTAGGCAGAACATGCTCTCTTTGCTATTACATGTTATTCTTTTGTCTTGTCAGGCTTGTCAGGTATAAGATGCGTACATGTAGCTATATCAACTCATTTAGGCCTAGTGGTAACTCCTGATCCTTGATGGCCCACCTTTAAAGGAGGGTGCAGGTCCAGCAAATCAGCGCATGCAAAAATGTTGAGAATTGATAGATTCCAACTTTCAAATGACACCTCAGCTTGGTGTAGCCGAATAAACAACTCCACTAACATACATCGGGTACGAAAAGGATGACTCCTTTACCTAGGCAGCTAGGTGAGCTGGTGCGCTCGCCCTTGACAAAAAACAGGAACGATCTGACGTCTTGCCGCCTACAAATCAGCCTGCACTTAGCTGAAAAGGAGCCAATGGGTGTGGATAGGGGTCGGTCTCTTCGGCCTCCTCCTTAAATCTATTCAGGTCTCTTTCACATTTCCATTGCATATTGATCATATTGTCAAAAGGATTAGCATCATCACGTATTTTTGCTGTCAGGATTCGTCTGCATCTCAGAATGCATGAGCCGCCTCAGAAAGAGCTGCATGCCCTCTTTGGTCTCAAGCTTGTAGCCACACCGACCGCCTTAACAGGCAGGCGGCAAAAGGTTTTCCAACTGTGTAGGAAAGGCAAAAGTGGGCGACCGGATTCGTTGGCACAGTAGAGTCAAATGATCAAATGGAAGTAATGCGGAGGTTACCAACATGACACGTAACAGCCAAGCAGGAAAATCTAGCCAAACATAGGTTTTGGATAGCTTCTGCAAATGAGGATGGCACAGCAAAGATCCTCAGTGTTGCACAGTAAGGTCGGTGTTCCATCTTGCTGAGTCAATAGAGCAGCACAGCTTTCTGAAGAAGAGTCAGAATAGTCTCGATTGATGACAAACACTTCCCAAGACTAGACCAGCCTTGGATCGGCATTCCATCTAGAATCTAGAGCAATGATTCCCTAGAGCATTCAAGTTGTAGCCCGCTGGACTGACACTTTGCATTTAAGAGGAAGACCATTATCGAAGCTTGTCCTCGAAGAAGCCTTGGCCTTGCAGTGCAGGAACAAAGTGAAGAGCAATCCTGTGAAGGTTCAGTCTGAAATATTTATAGATGCCAAACTACAGGCGTCTTGTATTGATCAGCTGGCACGTTTCTATCAGCTAGTAACGATCAACTAACAAACAAGTAAAGCATTTGCTCACTCCCGATTGGGGTCCGGCAGACTTCGTGCAATTGACATCTTTCAGGGTGCCGTCGCTTCTAAGCAGTAGATTAAAGCTGTTGTGTTGCCCTGACAAACACACCCAAATAGGTTGTACCTGCTAGGGGCTGCACCACTCATGAAGAGCCAACACAAGTGTTCGGGACCATCATGCAATGAGAGTTTGTTGTCCCTAGTCTATACGGTTTCTGATTAAAGAGCACGCATGGCTGAGTATATAGAAATCGTACTTTGGCTTGTGAATGTGTATGAGCACAGCAGGGCCTTGAACCATGACAAGATTGCGGCAAAACACTCAATGTCGAACAAATATTTGGCACTTACAACCGCACATGAACTGTCCCACGAATGTGGCACCTCATCACGCAAGTGATGACTGGCACTTGTTTGATCGTTAAGAGCTTGCTACCAAATCTCAAAAATCACACGTCATCACACACATTGAATAATATGTTGTGTGTAAACACTTTGCCTTTTAGCGCAATCACTGAGTATTGTATGGCAGTTATATATTTATAATTCCAAAGACAGTCTTCAGCCACTGCGACAAACTGTGTGTGTATGTATGTATGAATGTATGAATGTATGTATGTATGTATGTATTGTAAAATGTAATGTGAAGAGTGAAATGTGAAATGCAAAATGTAATGTAATGTAATGTACTGTATGTATATTATAAGTATGATATGATAGTCTCTGATAGTCGTATCTGTCTTCAATCAAGTTGACACTTCTGTCATTGAGAATGCACGTTCCAAGCCTGTCCAAAAATAGAAAAACACGCTCTGACATAATCCTCTGAGAACAGCAAAACAACTTCCTTTCCATTCTCTTGAGAGATGACTATATCTATATTATATTATAGTATCTGCTTTAAACTTCTCAGGGGACACTGTCTTTGTGCTCCTGAAGGGCATTGTTCTTGATCCTACAGTCTCCTCGGAGGAATCCCAGCTCCTGTAAAAGCCTTCGGGACAACGTAAAGCCCCGCCATGTACAAAAGGATGCAACAATATTATCTATTTCTATTCTAAACACACCTTGCCACTGTTGTCTGGAGGATACTACTGCAGCATATTCAAACTTTGTTCGGATTTCGTTGTTATGAGGATTTGGAGTGCCAAACTTGACATTCCTGGATAGGGAGACGTGTCAAATTTTTTGGGGGAGGTGTTCCTTTTCCAGTTCTAATCTTCTAAAGGAAACCCTGTTTGGGAATAAGCCTGAACAAAACATTGTATTTGTTGACGTCTGCGGGTTTCAAGGTTGCATCCTGTAACACGGGACAAATGCATGGCTTAGGAGAATTCTCAGTAGTTACTAGTTTCTACGCATTTCCAATGATAGAAGGTGCCGAAAATGATGTAACTTAAGACTCTTAAGACTCGAAACTCAATACATCTTGGTGTTTGATTTATATTTTTATATATACATACCTGAGAAGTGAGAAGGGGGAGAACGAAAGCCAGCAGCCGCCAGACGAGAGGGTCATTTGCTACATAGCAAAAGGTTCGGGAGAAGGTTGCGGGGCAGGTCCATGAGGAGGTTCTGGAGAAGGTTCCGGAGCAGGTTCCAAAGCGACAAGGCTCCAGAGGAGGGCTTGGACAGCGAAGAGACTGTCTCAGTGGCGCTTCTTGCTGTTGAGGACTTTCCTTGGGCTTATGCCACTGATCCGCCAAAAAAAATCATACGTCGCAGCTACACCCTCCTCCCAGAGACATAGAGACACAGAACCATAGAGACATAGAGACACAGAGTCGTAAAAGACAGAGACATCAAACACAGAGAAGTTGCTATCTACAGGGGGTCCTTTTCTGATAGCAACTTGTCGCTGCCAACCAAGTACCATACTTGCCCCAATACATCCAAGAAGACTTCTCTGACAGGATGACTAGGAGGATGGCAGGAACTATATGTCTCAGCATTGGTGTCACCAACCGTGATCCAAAAATATGGCATAGATCCGTGACTATAACCAATCCTTAAGCAGCAAGTTCTTCACGCCACCAAGTTGCTATCTACACGGGCCCCTGTTCTGATAGTGACTTGTCGCTGCCAACCAACAACCATACTTGCGCCAATACATACAACCAGTATCTATCTATCTATCTATCTATGATCTATCGATCTACCTATCTATTCTGTATCTATCTAGCTGCGCGGCCAAGCCGGAAACGATCGGTGCACGCGGACGCCGCGAGAAGCATCCGCTCGACGGTACAGGTATAGTAGAGACTAGGATGATTGCTGTGTACATGCCTGTCTCCACTCCAGTGCTCAATGCCCATTGTCCAAATAGCCTCCACAGCCCTTCGTGATGCTGATGATGCACTACTCGGCGTCCATTGCATCACTCGCATCACCAGACCCCATTTTCACTGCTTTTCTGACCCTCGCTTTGGAGCCCTCTCCCCAGGCAAGCTCCGGGTTCCCTCTCAAATGGTGCCTTTTCGCGGCCTACCCCCCCCCCCACACCCCCTTTACTCACTTCGTTCGGTCTAAGAGCTCAAGCCTAGCCTATCGGCTGGCTTTCGTAATATATTTGTGTATAGTTTATAACACTATCTTTTTTGCGAGCCTCAAGCTTTGAGGTATTTCATCTTCCGGAGCTGCGACACGCCACGCCTGCCGAACGTTTTATGTACAATGTGGCCCAGTTGATCATAATTTTGGCCGTTTTCAACTGCAAGCTCAACTCCATTCTATGAGTTTCTTATGAGCATTTATGAGCTCCCGGCACATACACATCAAACGTTCAAAAACTTCAGTAGTTTCCCTAAAAACCTAGGAACCAAACAAGGCGGGGGCTTCCTTGAAAAAAGCGTGAGCTATCCTGTGCTCTAGCTAGAAGCTTCCTATTGCTAGTAGTGTGTTTACGCCCTTACATAATTAAGTAGGGGCGCGCTTAAAAAAGTATCCTGAATTCTGTTATCACAAACAAACCAAGCTGGGCAGTGCTTTGAAAAGCTGGGCCCAAGTTTGCCGGGCCTGGAGAGTCGGCGAATCACCCAATGGATCTGCACAAGTTTTGATCTCACAAACTCGCCAGTTTCGTGTGCAGTTACTATATATATACATCAATTTATATATAATCTAAACACATGATAAACAAAGAATTGAGACTAAGCGAGACGCTAGACACGTGGCCGCTGATTGGATCCTTTTCGAGCCGTTATGGATTGGTTTGTGTTGATTCGATGAGTAGAAGTATGCAAAGAAAGTTGATAAAAAGAACATGAAGGAGGGCTGGTGGGCAACCCTCACCCTCCAGCCCACCAAACCTACACACTCCACGCTCAATGCCAACATTTATCATTGGCAACCCTTGTCCATCATCGGTGTTGGTTTTTGACATGACTTTGGTGTGTCGAATGGCTGATGGAGCCGGCGATGCGCCTTCTCGTAAAAGGCAAACATGAGTGCTGCATGGGACACAGTCTGCAAGAGCTTCGGTACCAGGCCGTAGTACTGGGAAGCACTACGAAGCACTAAATGCGTACAAAGAAGATTCATTCCAACACTGACCGTCAAGGTACAGGTCTGAAATTCATTCTCACATCGTCACATCATGCATTTCTCATTGATTCTCATGTCACGTCCGTTTGATCAAAATCCGGGCGCACCATAGCGCCCACGCCCTTTGCATGAAGCTCACGGAGGCACTGCACCTTGGATGCACACAGCCCGGAGTGATGCTTGTTCCTAGTAGCGATGCCTCCTGTTTGCTTTAATGAGGCGGAAATCGATTCATGCTTCTAATCGGCAAACAATTGCGACATCCTCAACTTGTCGAGTCGATGCAGTGCAACGCACTCATAGGAAGATTCGGAAGAACCGATGCTTTGCACAGTTGACAAGTAAAAAGGTGTTGATCCGTACATGCAGTAGATGTGATGCAACCCAACTCTCAGTGAAGCAGCACAGCGTATCTGCAAGGAGGCAACAAACGTGCTGAATCCAAAGCACTTCACTTTTCTCTCTGATGCGATTTGTCCTGCCCGACCTTTGCCGAATGTCGTCCGCTATTGCATAACCAATCTGTGTCAATCACTTGTATGCTGTGAAGTTGAAGCACATTGGAGCTATGAAATGATATGTTTGGAATAAGACGTGTCTTGTCAAGCGGGGAAACTTTCAAGGAATCATGACTCTATGACGCTACCGACTGCTTGAAGGGCATCATGGACTATGGACTCTACGCCCTGGCATTGTGTGTCATGTACAACTCAAGTAGAAGTTTGTTGAGGGCAACTCATTTGAGTATGTGTGGAAACCTCGTGACTCTGACCGAAAAAAACGAAGGGAACTACTGCGCTCACAAAAGCAGGTAAGAAAAGAAATGAGTCATCTATATAAAGCATTATAAAGCAATATGAAAGGGCAACATGTCACACAAAATGCATTGTGAAGCCCCATCGAATTGAAAAGCAAGAATGCTATGCTAAAGCGTTGGTCCTGCATGCTCTTGTTGGAATTCCTGCATGACTCATCGTTGATAAAAAGTGAAGATCTACTTACTTATCGTAAAATGTCTAGAAGGTCAGACTGAAAAGCTGTCGCAGCTGCGCGTCAGAAAGCTCCGAAATGGCCTGGCTCCGAATGAGATGGAGAAAAGGCTGCAGCTTCTCAGACTACCTTTTCCTTTCTTGGCCCTCTTTTTGGGTGTAGTAGCAAGGAAGACGGAAAAGAACCCGCTCTACGAGATCCTGGGTGATTTTGCACCATTGATCATATTTTGAGCAACCTCGTGGACAATGTTCAGGCTGAATCCACTATATGCATACTGAGGAGTAGTCAAGAGGGAGCACATCATGGATGCACTTTGTCACTGTGTCATTGACATAGCTACCATCAGCTTCCGTAATTTTGTGGATGCTGCAGTCATCAAAGAGTCATGGTGAAACCAATTTTGTCCGAGCAAACCTTCACGCATTGTTTGATTTCCCTCATTTTACTTACTCTGTCCCGTCCCTCTGCTTTTGGATCCCACCTGGACAACGTTGCCATGCTCGAGGGAGCCTTCCAGTGCTTTCATGGACTTGTGGGTGCTCGTTAGGCTTTCCACTTAGGGAACGTAAGTGAACTCTACACTGGACTCTACACAGTAACTGGCTGAGAAAACACACACACACACACGGCTCACACACGGTCACATACAGCTTTTGGCTGAGTTTCAGGAGCTTCCCGCGATAACCGCATCCGCTAATGCTCTCCTGACTCACAAATCAGTCACTCCGTTCATCAAAACAATTGAACAATTGCAGATGCCGTGTGCATCATGCCCAATGACATCCAGTATCCAAAGGATGTCATTGTGCCAAGGTGCTTCTCCGCCATGATGAATCCCAATCGCTCTTCGAATGTACCCACAGTAGTGAAGCGGTGCACCAACCTTACAAAACAAATGAACCCCGTCGAGGCTTGTTTGGCTGATGTAAACATGCAGGCTAGCGGTCACCTAGTTTGCTTCAATGATTCAACCTCGCACTACTCAATGCTCGTAGTCTTAGATCTGAGAAATTGAATGATATTCTGAGACATTAGTAACAAGCTCTGTTGAATCGCTTGCAACGTTCTTGCATAAACGAGATGTTCAACGTTTCTTGCTATCCAATTTGCACAGTCTGGTGCTGCCCAATACGGTGAGCTCCTTGGGAACTTGGCATAGTGATATTTATTCACGAGTCTGAACAGGACAACAAACATTCCACTTGAAAAACAATCCGTTTCTTGTGCAACTTGTGCAAGAAGTAAAGCATTGATGTCCAACGCATCAGGAGCAATTGGGAGTAAAAACAAAGACCCAAGCCGTTAGAGAAAGAATTTTGATGTCAGATGTTGTCAGTCTGTTGTCTTATTAGCGAATGATTTTGGTTTTAGTCAAGCAAAACTGGTTCTGAGATGTGCACGATCCGTTGCCTGTACAGGCGTGCACGTATACTTCACACTCTGCAGCAATACGCCTCTTCTGTCACCCTCTCATAATCTCTATCTCTATACAACTGCAAGATGATATATACTGTACATAAAATAGATGTTATATGATATATATATATACTGTATACTATATATATATCTCTCTCTCTTTGGCATAACGCGCCTGCGCTTCTTTGGCTGGATTCCAGCAGCGATCAAAGTGCACTACATGAGTGGCGGCAGTAAGGTTGATGCCCACTCCGCCAGCCTTTGCTAATCCGAGGCACAAAAGAACACTACCATTCATTCTGGCAGTTTTACACCGAGGAAACAACCGGGACAATGGACAGCCTCTCATCAAAGGACTTTTCATCAGGCCTTCAAGGTCAAAATCATCACGCGACAGCTCGGATCGTTGGAGAAGTCTGCAATGGCCTGTGTCTCTGAAGAAGTGCGCTGGACACGATGAGCATGCATATGGCACACTGTATAGTGCTGTTCCGACGTGTCACACTGGGTGCTGTCGTCAGTAGCTTATTCCAGGTTCTGTATTTTGGAATTGCGCTTGCTTGTCTTTTGGTTCTGTTGGCTCATGTCTACTTTGTAATTTGGCAAAGGCAAATGATGCAGGCTTCGGAACATTCATCTCTTTTGATGACAGGAGCTCGCCCCAACTTCTTTCGTACTTGTTGCCGATCTGTTTTATGCATCCCGGATCATCCCGGGCCAAGGAACCTTCTGCCTCTCATCGAAGCTCTGGTCACCACGAATAAGCAATGGCCTGCCACTCACATCCAAATTTGTTCACAAAGAAACATCGTCTTCGAACTGGTATGATATGTGCCAATCTTGATCTTAACCCTGACAATGTTCTCAAAGTGGTAGAAACATTGTACATTAGCTAGTTTTTGCTGTGAGCAGTAGACGTAAGCTGAAGCAAGTGGTGGAACAACAGCTTCACAATCCAAAGCAACCGTGTAATTAGACACAAACCACAAAACTATGATATGCGACAGAAACAAGCAGAGCTTTCAGGCATCTGAGCAATATAATAATGTGGAGCACTATTATACAGCAAACACAAGAGTTGAGTTGATCGGTTTTGAGTGGATTGAATCGCTTTGATACAATTTGATACACCTATATATACTCGATTCTTGACATGTGACACCTGGTCTCGTTTAGAAACCGCATGAAGGCACACCACGCACGCGTTCTTCCAACCGAGTGGCACACCAGGCACGAGCGCATGGTAAACAGTGCAACAGTGACTCAAAAAATGACGACTTTCTCACTAGTCCCTTTCACCCATTGTCACGATGTATAACAATGTATACATTGTATAACAATGTAATACGTAGTACTTCAACACCGGTGTCAAATCAGCTCCAGAATCAACACCTTTCGGCGAGACTTCACAGTGTAGACTTCCAAAGAGCCCCTAGCCCTAGAAGTGTCCTTGCTCCTAGTACAATCCAGCAAAGCCGAAGAGAACATTGGAAATCGCTTAACCACATCTTTATCCTCCGTCCAAACTTCACTATTCCTTGTGCCTGCAGGGTATCCTGAGTTTGCCAGCATCCACATCGGACAAGCAGCAAAACACTAGGAACTCTACAGTATTGCGCACTGAAACAAAATCTGCGCTTCAACTCAAAAGGATCATAAGAGTTTGTCAAACCCTTAACGAAAAAAAACCGGCTCTGTGCACACCAAATTCCAACAGAAAGGAATCAGTAAGTGCAATGTTCGATAACCCTTGGAACACGTGACACCACATAGATATAGACAGGAAGGTCGAACACTGTTCATCGTGCATCTCCAACTTCATAGGAATACAGTCTCCACATTTTTGGGGCAAAATGTAAGAACAGCCCTTGAATCTCACCCTGTGCGAGCTTGACTTGGTTGTCTCGATACACTCACAAATCAGCTCTCATCGGGTTCGCCTAAGATTTGGAAAGTGATTTGCCAGAATCTCGGCCAAAAGCTGCTGCGTGCCAAGATACTGCCTCGCAATGCTGCGCTAAGCTCAACACGCTGTGTTGCACCCACACGTAATGATTGGCCAAGAGATTGGGTCAGACTTGTTCTGGTCCATGATTCTGAGAGTAATGTGACTCTGAACCGAACATTTCATGGCATGCTTGCTGCTTGCTGATTCAAGGTACGTGAATATGAGCACCTTTTGCTCGGGACTCTCCCAAATGTCTTCCAGGAGTTCCAGCAAACGCGTCCTTAGCAATCTTTATTCGCAGCAGTTGTTTCTTTTGTTGGAAGCAACTTCATGGTGGCTTGCATCTCACAGGTAGCACAAACAACGTTTGGCATCATATGGCGTCCATTGCGCTTCTATGCTAAACAAGAATCATCTTCCCACTCTTGAATGCCTCGTGTGAGGTCTGCTCCAATCGATGCTCGGGTGGCACTGCAGCTGGGTGATTCACCACCTGATATGCTGGAGGATGCGGAAGCACTCGCAAAAGGCTAGACATGAACAATCGCCTGAGCACCTAATACCAGGTACACAGCGCCAATTTTTGAAAGGAATGTGAGGGTGACATCCTTTGGTTTGAGGACCCCGGTTTGTGCCTGCTGCAAGCGGTGCAGCAGCAAGAGTACCGCACGCTGTCGGTTTGGTGACTTTCCAGCCTGGCAAGGGTGCAAGCACTGCAGTTGCTGAACATACGCTCTTACCTTCCACTCTATGCATGGAGCATTTCAAGCATGGATTGTTGTATAGAGCAAAAAAAGAAGGTGGGCCCAACTCCATTTTTCTTTTCACAACATATTTGTGTGGGGCTCTTACTTTTACTCTGCATCCTGTCTGCATTCCTCCGGCGCATCCTCCTCCGCCTGTGCATCCTCTCGCCTCCTCACTCATCTCACACATCACACCAACTCATCTGACACCAACTCAACTCACACTAACTCACTAACGTAACTTGCTCTCATCACTTTCAGTCACTCACTTTCACAGAAGATCCACATGTGATGTTATCCGGTCTTTTCAATAAATTGTATAAAGCCTGAGGTCTTGGACTTAATTACGCACTATTATATATATAATATAATATATGCTATCATGTGCTGATACTACTTACTACTCACATCTATCTATTTACTACCAACAAGAAAACTTTGTTGCATACAATATTTTAAAATACATTACAACAAAAAACACCCTCAAGTGTTAACCCAAGCGCTCTTTCACAGATTAAGCAAAGCATTCAGATCACGGCCTCTGCATCAAATACCAGGCTTCCTTACAAACGTTGGTGGGACACTTGCTCGAATGCTTCAACAGAAACGCCAAATATCTATGGCAGAGGAGAGCTTGCTATTGGCCTCTGGTATCGGCAATCCCCAATAGTTCATACTGTGGAGAGCAGGGCCTTTTGCAAAGAAAACTAGTGCTGCCACTCATTTCCTGAGCCGCTCACCATCAAGCACGCGCTCAGCCCAAGCGATGTACTGCCTTGATTGATCCTGGGCGTAGGCCGGCCAGCTGTGCAAAGGATCTTGATACAACTTAATTTATTGAACCACAAGCCGCGTCAATAGAAAACGCACCTGTGTCATCTCCACCGTGTAGTCGTACTCAACCTGCAAATCTAATTTAGGCGAATTTTACTGTGCTAGGGAGCACAGTGAATCTGCTCACGTCTTGCAACCAATCAGTAAAAGTACCCCCAAGTAGGGTAACTCGCCTTGTCAGGCAGCTCTGGTGCTATGGCTTTGTCATTCTTGTGGCGCCTGAGGCCGAAAGGGGAGGAACAATGGAACAAACAGGGCACATCTTGAAGCTCCAAGCAGGGCCAGGCTACAGCTTCTTCTGCTCAAGCCAAACACATGCCGAATGTTTGTGGTCCAAGACCAAGCCTAAGCATAAATGGCTCCAAGGCTGCTCGAAGCTTTGCCAATGCGCCATTACGCCCAAGCGCCTGAAAAGGCCACAAATCTCCGTTAAGTGGACTTGATTTGAATGGCTTCAAGAGTTTGGACAAACTGAGCTAGTAGCTTCTTGCTCCTAGTAGCAATGGCCTCCAACCTACTTGCGATGGCCTCTACCTTATAGCGTCCACCTATTGAGGCTTGCCTCAAGTCATGTTCATACTCAACAGGTAGGGGCAGCTGTGATTCTGTCCGATATCATTAGCCCTCAGCATCTTCGTTGCTTGATCCAGCCTTTTGAACCGGCCGCTCGAAATTGACTAAGAACTCTTCCTGCTGGCTGTGAAATCAACTCAGCATATGTGTGCAAGAATACCAAGAATACCACCAAGCTCACCTGACTAGTCTATGCTACTTATGCTTCGATCCCTCTGGGTTTCTCCGCACTCTTCGCCTTCTCCGCCCTTCCCGCTAACAAACATTAAAGACATCAAGTCTACTAGTAACAAGAAGCTTCTAGTAACAAGTGCCTTACTAGTAGAACAAGAAGCTATTGGGAACAAGTGCATCTTCTTTCCCATTTTGATCATTTTGTCCGGCTCCTTGGTGCCAAGGAAGCCCGGGTTTAAGAACTCAAAGAGTGAGAAAAGCTCCGTCAGGCGGTTCTCTATTGGAGTCCCTGCACAGGACTAGCACTTGGAAGAATGGACGCAAAGACTCAAACGCCTGACGGCTTGACCTAAAAGAATTTGCTATGACTCGTGACTCATTGTTGTCTTGCATTAATGGGTCCATTCATCTCTTCCCACACTTACTCGTCAAACTAACAGTAACTAGTTCTGTCTTGAAGCCTTGCCACAGCTGAAGGAACCGTACCTCTATATACAGTATATAGAGAGAGAGAGAGAAAAAAAAAAGCCTGCTTGGCTTTGCTAGTTGTGCTGAGAGAGCCACCTGTCAGCGCAACCCTCGCACAACTGCTTCCACTATTTGCAGCGACTTTCTTCACTGCCTGGTGAACATGTTCCCAGGGAAAGCAAGTGTGCCGAAAAAAACATTTGCAACCATTCACTCATTTCAACAGAACTCCAAACTACTTGACATTGCAGCGAACAATATGCCTGCCGCCTGACTCGGCCTTTCTAGTAACTCAAAGACCAAACTAAGAACAACTATAATATGATAACCATACAGTGTCATAGTGTATTAGACAATTAGACAAGTGCCTAGGACAAAAACGTTCTCGAACATCTGCAATGAGAAAATACTGCAGATTTCAAAACATGAACTGCCCATCTACTCGCCCAGTCTCCTGTGCTGTCAGGCTTTGTGAGTTCTTGATGTATTGGCTTTCGTCCAGCACCATGCAAGCAAGTTGCAAACCTGACATGAACACGTCACAAACACAGCTCCAGGTCTGTGAGACATCTGTTGCCCAAACAAGCTTGTAACATCTTGTAACGTAGCTTGTGAGCATGCTTTGGTCATTGTCATTTGGGTCTCAAATCCACATGTGGCCTGAAGAAATAAATTTTGCTTGGTCTAACAGGAGGATGCTGTAGGTGGTGATCACCACTTCGGCATCGCCTGATGCCATCAAAACGAGCAGCAAAACATGATGTGTGTCCGAGCTCTTGCAGAAATAATGTAGAAGTTGCTCACATGTCAAAAAAAATGGCAGCAATATATTTATATATATATATCTGAAAACGCTCAATTGAACATCTTTACTGAAGGTGAAGCTCTGTTGTCGTCATCACATCAACCTCTTGTTGCGCATCACACCTTGTAGAGATCTCGCTTTTCCATGGTAGACTTTAGGGCGCAAAGATGGTGTCCAGCGCCTGCTCTCACTGGAAAATCAAAGAGCTTCATAAGTCCTTTCAATGTCAGTGAACCTTGGATCTCTCTGATTCCACTATGCGTTGCCCTGTTCTTCACATGGCTGACCATCCAAACTGCTTGAACGAGAATCTGAATTGATTGACTTTGGATAATTACTGTACCCTTCGCAACGCAAAGATTGAGCTACAACTGTAGGCTGCAGCGGTCTTGACCAATTGCCTCAGCTCAGTCTTCCAGTTGCCCAAAACGGAGAAGGGCACGACTACGAGAGCTGGCTTCTCCACAGAGATTTTGCCTGAAAGTGTTTCAGCTTTTCTCCGAACCCACCTTCTGCTTCTTCATGTGTCTTCTGTTGCAGCAATTGAACAAGCGACATTGATATACATTGATTGGGGCTTGTTCCCACCTTCATGGCAAAGATACTGAAGCAATGCCGCACACTGCAGCGTCTTTCCAAGACCCATGTCATCCGCCAGGAGACTTCCTACCAGTCCAGCAAAGAGTCCACAAAAGTTTGTCATGAATTCTGAACCCCACGAGTTGCAGGTTTCTGGAAAGCGGTGCGAAGTAGCGTGTCTTGCAAGGTCACGTCCTTTCGATACTTTATCTGTCCATAGTGTCATGATGTGGCATGAACAATACAAGCAGTACAGAATCTGTACAGAATGAGTGAAACACAGTTAAACACGAACTCAAACATGTTGACATGTCGCGTACAGTGGCAGCTCAGTGGCAAATGCATGCAGACACCAGCACGCAAACATGTCGGTTAGTTGGCATCAAAGGGCAAATTGGTTTATCGAAAGGCATATTAGCTTTTGAAGATTGATTGGTGACTGCCAAACTGGTCGCGATTGCAGGATTGTTGAGAGAGTTCCCCAGAATGAGGTAACCATGGGAATCCCAAATGCCAGCAAAGCAGCTTGGAAAGCTTCCAGTTCACAAGTTGCTCCTGTCCCCCTGCCTATGCAATTTTCAGCATTGCAGGCCAACCATCGAAACCCATCCGCTTGGTACTTCCTCAGAATTTCCTGCGGGACTTGCGGAGGTACAACATCAACCAAGATTCACGATGTCGCACTAATCTACCAGCCAGGTACAAATACATCGTAACTAAATTCTGCTCCCAAAAGATTCTATAAAACCTTCTGAGCCATCCATTTGTGTTTCAAACCAAAGTCTTGTATAGTCTATATATGTTTCAGAGCCGGCAGCCGCGCCTTCAGATTTTGTGGTATGTCCACATTTTGGCACAAGGCGCTGCGGATCAACTTCTGGAGAGAGGCGTTCAAGTGAACCTCTGATGATTGAAATGCCCTGTTGCCAAAGTGAAGTGATTCAAGTGATGATTGAAGTGCAAGCACTCAGAGAAATAAACCTCAACGAAAACATACAACTTCTATCACAACTTGAACACCAAACGAGGAGACAACTACTTGCATAACATGTTGTTCAATGTTGACTGTACGTATATTTAATTCAACAAATGACACATGCCACATGCCGCTGCCCTAATATGCTCTCCTCCTGCCTGGCGGTTCAGACCGAGTAAGCTCTGCAGCAGCCCGATCGAGCTGGGTACCTTTGTGTGCGTGTGGTTTGACAATGCTTGTCAGCAAAGAGTCACTGTAACAAAGTGATTGCTATTCAAGCTGGATTTGCTTTGGCCTCGAAACTGAACAGTTGTTTTAAGCAGTATATAGGTAGAAAGTAAAGCTTGTATCTGTTTAGAGGGGAACATATTCAAAGAACTTGCAGGCAACAAAATTGAGGCTGAAGAACTGTTGACATGTCACACCTCTACAGTCCAACTCAATTGAGGAAACGAGCTGCAGCATCAGGCTTCCTGCCGGCATACTTCCGGATAGATTCAGCAGAAGAAAGCTCCACCTGCAAATACCTGCTGGGAAACTGGAACGAATTGTCACATGAAACATTATGAAGTATTACCATCATGTTCCTAAATTTGTGCAATCCTCAAAGCCCAAAGTGCTGACCCTGGACTTCAGACTACGGGCTGTTGCTCAAACAATTTCACAGATATCGGTATCGGTCTGTATCGGTTCACAGGACTTTAGGTTTCAGTTTTGAGGTGGCGACGTGGCGCCTATTCCTGCTCATCAAATACAAGGCACCAGGGTGTCGACCCACAACTCCAATCGCACCTGCTGCCAGCACTGCCAGCATTAGATCCAATGAGAGATAGAAGAACAGCTCTACCGCTTGAAGGATAGCAAGCTCGAAGCGCCTTCCTCAGAAATAAAAAAAACGTGCGTGGAAGGGTGGGCGGCCCTTCCAACTGTAAACGTGCTAGACAGTTCACTGGTGCATCCATAATCAGCTATTCCCCTCAACATGTATGCATATTTTGTATGCAAGTTACCGCTATTCGCAGAATGGGAGATTGCCCCTATTGACAAATCCTTTGTTCATGGGCTCTTGATCAAACACCGATGATCACTGATGAGATGTGTAGCACATTAACTTGCAAGGAAGGCCCCAGAAGGACATCTCAGGGGAATCATAGACTGTTCACTGACACAAGCACACGATCTTGAACCTCCGGCATTGAAGGGATTGCTTCGCCATGTCAGACCAAGGCCACGACATGAATGGCTTGATCGGAAGGACAAGATCATTTTGATCCTGGCCCTGGCGCCTGAACTGAAAGGCCCACTCAGTTTCAAGCAGGCCTCCAGACAGTGTGAGCCAGCATGATTTGGCAATATGTCTTAGTGCTCTATCTTGCAAAGAACAACTGTAGCCTGTCACTAAGCAAGTGCGTTGCTACCTCGACAATACCTACGCTCGCTCACGGTGCAAAGCATCATCAAACCAACCTTTTGTTCCAGTGCTCCTAATCCACGAGCCAGAAAGAAAACACAGTGCCACCAGCTTTGCCTATCAGTGTTTTGAGCGAGAGTGCTTTGCCCACTTCCAGGAATCTGCAAAGCTCCTGACCATGCACTGGATTTGGGACAACCCACCTGGATTTCGGACTGACAATATAACAAGTTCAGTTTTCGATCAGAAGCATCTTGTCTTCTCAAATAAAGGCTAAAGCCGAGTCCTTCGACGGCTTGACATGCAAAATCACTTCTGGCATGACTTCAGCTGTTGATTGTGCCTTTACAACTTCCTCAGGGCAAGTATGGGCAAGTCACGGCAAGTCTCCCCTTCCCCATACAACAAGAAATCGCTGCATCAAAATGCATCAAGCATGTCGTAATCATTCCAAATGACAAAACATCAAGCAAGATGCCGTCAGCGAGGAGTCAAGCTCCAGCTCGCGGACCTTCTGCCCGATCTCTTCCAAATGTGGATCCCTGAGACTTAAAATGTCTGCAGCTGAATGACAGTTGAGTGATGGCTTCCAACGTCCACATAAACATGAGCACAGGCTTCCCATGGCCTCTTCGTCTTATTGTTCTGCAGTTGGTCCATCTCATTGTGTAGAAGCACCAGAGACCTTGGAAGCCATGTCCTCTACATGGTTTTAAGATGAAATGCAAGAATCTAGGAACCAAGTCATTAAGACTCCGGCTTCTTCAAGGAAGCTCCTACCCGAACCTGAGCCCTTTTTCCCCCTCAAGCCTAAGAAACCACTTCCGTAAGCTTCGTAGCTACTCCTTACTTGTTACCTTTCTTGAGCCTCTTCTTCATGGCCCAACCCCCCCTGGGCTTTAACAAACAACAAAACAATCAAAGGCAAAAGGAGCGCTCCAAGGCCCGCTCCTTGCTGCCTCTCTGCTCCTTTCAGCTTGACTTAGCTGCTTCTTCAACTGCTGAATCGTTTCATGAGCCTGACGAAGCCCAAACTATCCCAAACTCTATCCTGATATGAATCAGCGGCCTCATGCCCATCTCACCCCTGTCATCACTCTTTCAACTTGAATAGTTAAATCGATGAAGAAGCTCCAAGCACACATTGAACTGATTCTGAGCTTAACTATATAATGTGGCTACTGTGATTCAAACAAACTACCAGTACATAAAGCTTTCAAAGCAAAGCCTCGCACAAAAGAAGAACACCCCGGCCCTAGCCCTCTTTAACTACACCATCCATCATTTCCAACACGTCCGAACGTTCTTCCACCCACCCCGAGCAAATCGTGCCAAGAACAAAACAAGGAAAGCTCCAAGCTGTTCCTGGAGATTGGGATCATCTCCATACATAGAGCTTGACCGTCAACACACCCGCGATTTCCGGTAAGTGCGTGAAGCTGTGGTAAGCAGCCCTATTACATGTCGTCTTGCTCACCAGGATAATCGCAAAGATGTGAATAATGGATCAATTTGCGAGTTGATGTGTTGAAGGGCCATTTTCTTACTGCGGTCACCTGCTGTCCATCAACGATAATCCGTGATAATCCTACCAGCAAGTCCAAACCCTTCCCACAGTGAACACCATGAAGCTCCAGTGCTTCCACTGCCACTGAAGGTGTGTCAACTACCATAATCCGTAATCCCATTGGATCTGATGATCCAAAACATGGTTTGCGGGCTTGTGGAAAAGTGCACAACCATCCAAGTGAGGCACCTGTTGGATCAAACGCTAGCAGGGATGAACAGGCAAAGCCCTTTACAACCGCATTGCTTGCAGTAAGGATGGCATTAGACAGTTGCGTGACATCCGTCCTGTTGCAGGTCGTCCCTGCTGCGCATCATTTCAGCTCCAGGAGTGAGGCTTGCAGCATTTTCTTGGATCTGCTCGTGAACTTCCATGGCCTGAGGCAAAGGTGCTGGACCTGAACTTGTCTGGTCCACCCCTCCAGGATGTACCAGCCCTTGCCAACAAGTGCCTGGTGGAAAGGTCCAATGAACACCTCGATCCGAGACTCTCAGATCACAGGGATGGTGAAAATATGTGAGGATTGCTTTAGCTAATAGCAATGGCCTCCACCCTAAGAGCGATGACCCTCCAATGGCCTCCAACATATTTGTTCTTTGAGACAATTTGATAGGAGAGCAGCGGGACAAACACATCCCGTCAACATTTCAAACACAGTACACTCTGCAAAGAGACGATTGGAAATGGTTTCATGATTCATGAGCTTGCAGTAGATGTTATATTTTAGGCTTTACTTGATTGGTATTATAAAATGATTAGTCTTCCCAATCGCTTCTACAGGGTGTATTCATATTCAAAGTTCAAACGTCAGCAAAACATATTTTTTTATCACAAGTATGTACAATATGTACTTTGTCCTGTCAGTTCGCAAATGGATAAACTATTTATAAGGTTTGTGCTCTTAATCTGCAGTCAGTTTGTTTTGTTATGGATTCAGTAGCTGACACCGAAAATAAACAGGGTGCTTCGAGATTTTCCTGTCTCTTGCCACAGCGTTCTCCGCATTGTTTGTTTCTCTGATTTTGGCAACTGGCAGGACCACCAAAACAGCGAATGCACCATGAAGATTCCAAGAGGACATTGATCATTCACTTTGGGGCAACATGTTAAAAATAACGTTGTTGAAATCAAGGAGGACTGACGTTTGTACATCTGTATATTCCAACATGTTTGTAGAAACAACAGTTTTTGACATCAAGTGGTCTGACATTTATGTTTCCAAAAAATGCAGTTTTGAATCTCAACAAGGGATTCACATCTGAATAAAAACGTTTGAAACCCTCTTCAATTTTCAACTACTGTATCCAGGGATATGCAAACTGGACGTTGTGTATATACATGGTGGTTGATCCATATTCTTTCATGACGGAATGGCCATTCTTCAGGGAAACAAATGTTTTTGCGGCCTCATCGCGAAACATGGTCCTAAAACCATGTCTAGTTAACAGTCATGTGTTGGAACTACATATAATATATATATATATATATACATTAGGAAGTTAACTATTTGCATTAGTATCTTAAAAGATCTCAAAAGAGTGACTGACATCTGGCAGCATGACCCACACGCAGGGTTGAGTTACTCAGGGTCACTTGCAGCATCTGTGCGACAAGCCGTATCCTGGTCCCTGGAGGAGGCTTAGAATAAAGCCAAGTACAACTCAATCCAATCCTCACACCAGCTACCAGCACAGGGTGATGCAACTCGGGAAAGTTGGGGGGTCTCACGCTTGGAAGCTGGACTTTCACGGCACATTCGCGAAGCTTTCGCTGATCTTTCGCGAAAATATGCTGGTGATTTCCCACCTGATAAGGCGTGTGCAACCATCTGCGCACCCCGTCAGGGCTGCGGGTTGTTGCCTCACTGTCAGGGCTGTGGAAGGGTGATGCAGTTGCGGGAATGGCAATCTTGTACACACTGTCAATACTGTGGAAAAATAAGTTAACTTGTCAGGTTGCTAGTCTATGGCAGTGGGGACAGGAATCGGAGAATCCTTTACGCACTGCGAAGGCTGCGCAAGGAAACGTTGAGGCTTCAGTTCCTCAGTCTGTGACAAACATGTGGGGACACTTCCGCCCACCGGCTCTGCCGGAGGATTTCTTTGCATTTCTGCCATTTGTCAGTCAGTAGAACGGACATCATATGAAAGCGAAGACCTTCGATAAATCTTTTCGCGAGAAAAACATACTTTCGCGAACCTCATCGCAGATCTGTGGCGGATGGCTTGTACAGCATCTAAAAGGTCCTTTTGTATGAACCCCCTTACAGAAACCTTTAGATCAACTCGCATATACATCCACATACATTAATTACCAAACACACTCTTCGTTTTGTTGACTGGCCTGCTGAAGCAACTGTTGCGTCTGCTCCACCACATTTGCTGCAGCTTCGCTAATAGCCTGCCAGTCTTCTCCTTGCAACCATGTTGCACTTGACCCTGCAAATGACTGACATCTAGCTCTTTTGCACAATGATGGCTGCGTCATCCTCCTTGTGCTTCGTCGGTGATAAAGCTCTTCTGCTTCAATGACCTCACAGCAGTTTGAAGCATGCTTTGGGACCTTGGCTAAGCAATCTAGCTAAACTGAGACTTGCAAACAATGGGCATTCTGCTTGTAAATGCGTACATGTGCAAAGGCATCCAAAGCAAAGAAACTGATCTTTGATACAAACTCTACTGCTTGAGCCGACTTGGAAGCATTTTCGCATAGTTTTACTTACTGCCTTTCCTTAAAGGAATTAAGCAAGGGAAGTGCTGACCTCCTGAACTGGAAACACATTATGCAGCAAGCAACTACTTATGGAATTTTGTTCATCAGTTCAAAACTAACACGTCTTAAAGGTCCTTTGGAAATCCCTTCCTATCAGTGCTGTGACGGAATCGTATCCCCAAGGAAATTGTTTGCCAATGGACCAACTTATGTCCAAATCACATTATCATGGCGAGAACATCAATTGAAAAACCACTTGTCTCAACATGCTGTGTTTTTGTTAAGTGTGGCCACCTCTTCAATGCAAAATGCTAAAGGTCTACTTTGCAGCTTGAAAAGGGTTTCAAAACGAAAGGAGGATACTGTATTGATTTTTGAAAACGGTTGAACCATGTTGAACCTGTTTGATGCGAATCAACAAAATAAGCATTTAGCCTAGCATTGATCATAATTCTACATAGCATTTAACCGGTCTACCCCTACAGTCCCGGAATGTACAGGCCCCTACCTTTTTGATCACTGGGGGGGTGGTATCGACTCTATACGGGACTAAAGGAATAGCCCATGTGTTCAATAGGCACTCTCTTCCTAACCTAAATATATTGCTGCTGTTGCAAAGTTGTGCTATCTGACCCAACAACCAAAGTCTTTCGCCATAGCCAACAACAGGACATCAAACTAGAGGGAGAAAGCAACAAACAAAGACTTTATAGCTAATTGATATGTCCTGTCAACTCGAGAATTGGAGTCGTGGTCTTTCACATCACAATAAGACAATAATTACATACAGTAGTTTCAATTGCAAGCTTGAAACTTCTCGAAGATGCTTCTTACAACAATACAGCAGCAGCAACAACAACAGCACCAACAACAATGACAACAGCATCAACACCAGCAGCAACAACAACAAACTTGCATGCTCTAGAAACGTGTCAGAAAAAGCCTTTGTGTGGACACACAGCCTCATTGAGGGAGTTGGACACATACACAATAGAACCAAAGCTGCATCAAACATTCAGGGAAATTAACCACTGACAAAAATGCTGAAAAAAAAACATGTTCCCCGGCAATTTCTACACTATAGACTATAGACAGATTTAAGAAAGTGGACTCCAAAAAAAGTTCCAGGACCAAAGCTTGCCCTGATTTCCCGAATATCTCTTTGAAACTACTTTCTCTCGGATGGCTCACTCAAAGTTTCTAGACCAAAGATTCTCTTGAAACAAGCAATGTTTTCATCGTGCGTGCGTGCTCAAACCAACACGAGCTCCACATACCTGGAGACTGGAAGGCCAGCTTCCCTCGAACTCAACCCTCTTTCACCCTCCCTCTCCAGCAGCAGCATATAGTTGCTCTGAAGATGAGCCTCCCTTAATTTAAATGCTTCCAAGCCGCTCCAACCTGGGCTGGCGTGCGTGGAGTGGACTGATTGTCTTGCTATCCAATCTTAGCACTGGCTTCATTGATAGGCATTAATGCAGGCGATTAAACCGACTGGCCTGGCCTGAGCACCGCAATCCGGTGTTCCTCTATTGCCTCAAGCTTCAGCACTTTTTGCAACCTCAAACGGGATGAAATCGTACATCCCAACTAGTCCAAAGCCCTGCCATTGGCCAAGTTTCCATTGCACAAATGATCATTATGTCATTGCGATCTATCTTATCCATAGTCTGATTATATGGTAGTTGCAATGTTGGCCACAGTGCCATAAATTATACACGACATTATCTGCATTGCTTACCAGCCCTTTGAAAATGTGAGTCAAGTCAAGAATGGCACTGCATCTCATTCACCAAGCACCAGCTGACAAACAGGTGCATTAAATGATATTGAATGGATGGCCGTAAGTAGGACGAAAGCAAAACAAATATATATATATATATTAATGACTATTACTATTATATGTTCATGCTTGCGTGTATTCAAGAGAATACGTACACCATCAAATTCACAAACTCATCACTCATCATGTCCACTACAGCAGTTGTTGCTGCCCACCATATTGAAATACGCTGCCATCCATTGGCGGAATCTTCGTGTAAGGCACTTCAGACTCCAACATGCTGTAAATTGAGCCAGGTTTCTCTTTACGAAGCTGGTTCAGATTGCTCTTCTTCTCAAAGCGCTCTTTGAGGAAAGTCAAATTTCCTGAAGACACTAGGTCACTAGCTCCCAAAGCGTTTTTATTTGCAGCGCTTCCAGTCACAAGTTGTTGTGCGCGACTCTGCTGTTGGTGCTCTGGCTACCGTTTGTTGTACACGTGCAATGTTACCAAAGCAAAGCAAACAACTATATATATATATATAGCCTGAGAAGGGGGGACGAAAGCCAGCAGCCGCCAGACGAGTGTCTGTTTTTCTGGCGGGCGTCGCGACACAAGACACATGGTCGGCAGCTTGCGAGTCAGCGGTGCTGTGGATGCGGGCGGCCGTATGTAATGGTGATGGAGGGAGCAGAGAAGCAAGCCGGGCGGTTTTGGGATAAGTTTGGTATGAAAGAAGTAGCGAAAGAGAAGCGCGATACGTTGTATGTTGGTGCGGGTCATCATCACAAGGAAATGGCATGCGTTTGTCACACGCAGGAAGGTATGCGTCTTATAGAAGTTGGAAGGCGACATCAGCGTAAGCGAAGGGGAAGTACCATCTGAGTTCGAGTGGTGGGATACCACGTGCGCGCGCGCGTGCGCCGCGCGCGCGCAGGAAGACCTTCTCCATAGCCAGTATGGCGTGGGGTTGAAAAGAAGCAAGTATGTGTTTGTTACATTTGGAGTGTCGAAGTTTGCAATGCCATACTGCAGCACGTCGAAAAGCGGCGTTCGTTGATTTGGAAGAGTGAAGGGGCACGTCTTAGCCGGGGCACGGACGTTTGATCCCGCGGCGCAGAAGGGGAGGTCGCGCGGGAGTAGCTTAGGCTAGCAAAGGACTGAGGATTTGTGTGCCTATCGATGCACATGCCTGGACTTGAGTGAGTCATGTCCTGGCTCGATCCAAAACACGGTCTTTTTCCTTCAAAGGGGCCTCTATTAAACGATCAAAACACATTCTTTATTCTTCTCTTTCTTGTCAACTCTGCGCTTTTCTCACTCAGAGGCCTTGACTTTGGCACCTGCCGTGTGTAGATCTTTGGGCCGTGGACCCAGGCTGACTGGATTCGGCAAGGGCTGCCAGCAAAAATATATATCTCTCTCTATTTCTATCTCTCTATCTATCTATCTATCACGTTCGGTGCGTGTGGACGCCGCGAGAAGCATCCACTCGACTGAGGACATGGTGCAAGTATAGTTTTTTTGCTAGGGGGCAGGAGCCCTATGGGGATATGCAGTCAACCTTGCAGGCATCCCCACTGAAACTCAGTCCAAATTTATGGACTTGAACTCATGTCACTTTCGGTTCTGCATGGACTTCGCGAGTTACGGGTTGTCCTAGGAACTCAAATCCTACATGCGGCGGCGGTCTGCTCTGTAAGTGGGCCGCTGTCTCCACTCGATTGCTCAATGCCCATTGCCCAAATAGCCTCCGAAGCCCTTCATGATGCTAATGATGCACTACTCGGTGTCCATTGCATCACTCGCATCACCAGACCCATTTTCACTGCTTTTCTGACCCTCGCTTTGGAGCGCTCTCCCCCACCAAGCTCCGGGTTCGCCCTCTCAAATTGTGCCTTTTCGCGACCTCCCCCCCCCACACCCCCTTAACTCACTTCGTTCGCTCTAAGAGCTCAAGCCTAGCCTATCCGCTGGCTTTCGTAAGTATCAAAGGAAGTTTAGTGTACGAAACTTCCGTGTTACGGACATTCAAGAACCAGTCATACATCACTCATCATACACCACTCATCAATACACCACTCATCATACACCACTCATCAATACACCACTCATCATACACTACACCACTCATCATACACCACTCAATACACCACTCATCATACACCACTCATCAATACACCACTCATCAATACACCACTCATCAATACACCACTCATCATACACCACTCATCAAGCACCACTCATCATACACCACTCATCATACACCGCTCATAATACACCACTCATCACCCAGTTAGCTCCAGTTTCAAGAGCTCTAGCTCCAGTTAGCTCTAGTTGCAAGAGCTCTAGCTCCAGGTAGCTCTAGTTTCAATAGCTCTAGCTCCAGTTTGCGTGGCAGGCACAGCACTTTGTGAACCTCCGTGCGCAGAGTTCGTGGCAGGCACAGCACTTTGTGAACCTCCATGTGCAGATTTCGTGGCAGGCACAGCACTTTGTGAACCTCCATGTGCAGATTTCGTGGCAGGCGCAATACAAAATGCGTTCTCGAGAGATAGCCGACGCACAAAATGCTCGTTTTTCAATAGAAGGGGTGGCTCCGAAGCTGGCAAGTCTAGCTTTGCGGAACGCTGTGTGCGAGACGGTCTCGGGTCATGCTCACATCATGGTCGGATCATTCTCGGAATCGTCCCTCCTTTCGTGGCAGGCGCAGCACTTTGTGAACCTCCATGTGCAGATTTCGTGGCAGGCACAGCACTTTGCAGATTTCGTGGCAGGCGCAGCACTTTGTGAACCTTCATGTGCAG